GGCCATGACTATTAGGTTGGAAGCCATCCTTCTGAGTTTTAGGCCATGGCTATTAGTTGGAGCTGTTCTTTTTCTCCTTTGATTGCGCTCATGTTTTTTCCGTTGGTCGCCGTGTCGCCGAAAGAGCCACTTCGAGGCTGAGGAGTTGGTCACCTTCCGTCTTGGCCACGGCCTAAGTCATTGAAAGACAAGAAGCCGGAAAGATACTGGATTAGTGACCTGCCAGCCTCAGGTGCATTTTCGCTTAAGACACTTTGGTTGATATGAATGTTGTTGCTAAATCCACAGTCGCGCTTGCCAGAGGACGTGCACATATGCAAGGTCAAACTGATGATGGGCGGATGTGTGCTGTTGGTGTGAAGACTGCCGAGGCATCAGATCGAACTCAGGTTGTGCTTGATCCGCAACATTTTTCTGAATAGGTCTTAGTGTGACACTCTGCAGATTGTTTCTGCATAGATAGCATTCTTTCAGTGAAATTCAAGTCACCGGTCTCTCATTAATGATCCATAGCAATTGGGATAGCACCGCGGTTAAAGTTCTTCTTTTGAAGTCTTCCCAAAAGGTCTAGCTTTCCAAAAACTATATGATAACGCAGCCTTTGGTGCGTTTGCCCCCGCAGGCTGGTGATGCAGATGCTCCCGAGGAGACCCAGGAGCAAGCAGAGGAAAATGGCGAAGTCGATGGCTCTGAGGCCAGGAACACATTCTGTCGAGACGAGTCTAACTTGCCTGATTTTCTTCGTCAAAGTTGCCTGATTGTTTTTATTGTTTCTTTAATATCAAAGTTGCAGTTATTATGTTCACTGTTGAACACCGCTGAACATTGAGTGGTGTGCCACGATTCCGGTGTGCATCGGGAACCATTTCTCCAATTGACTCAGAGCATTGTAGGCACAACGCAGATTTTTTGATTTACAGTAGCTGTTTTGGAAGGCATCCTCGGTGGAGATAGACCTGGAAGAGGAGTTAAAGCAACTTGGCTAGAGATGTGACATTCTGGTACAGTCTTCAGTTTAAAGGGTGGAACGGCCCTTGTGTTTGTGCGCATGAGTACACGGCTGCCGGCTGCCCGCCCATCCATGTACGCCGTTTTCGTTCTTAACGACGAGAACTGTGTCGACCGCGTGCGTTCTTTTGCCATATACTAGCTGCTATACTTGGGGTATCTCGGGTTCAATGTATCAGGATGTAGTTTGACTGCAGTGCTGGTGCAACGAACAAGCATATGTTCATGCTGGAAGCAATCTGGTAAACATAAATCCCCCAAAAGTTGCTTGCAGGTGTGGCTTTCACCAGGACAAGGCGGAAGGCATGCCATTAAAAGCACATTCTAGCGCGTGTCCGAACATAACCCTTTATATTGTTTTGTCATCAGTTTTGTCATCAAAGGGGATCAAGATTTGCTGATTGTCGATGGTCCAGACCCACATATTTTGCTTCGCCAGAGTAGTCACTTTTTCTTTTTGGAAGCGTAGGTCTTTCTATCCAAGACAGCAAGCAAACAGCATCTTTGCCGAAGTCGCCAGGCAAGGAGACCTGCGAAGACTTCTTGGTTGACAAAGTGAAACTGCCGATCAACGTGTATTTTCCTCAGACAAGCATAGATTCATGCTTTAGTGTTTCGTTTCGTGATTCTCATTGAAGCATAGCTTCATGGTGTTCCTAGGCTTGGTGAGACTGCATCTTTCGTGTTTTTCGGCGTCTTTGACGGTCATGGTGGACCTTACTGTGCAGAACATGTGGCACGGAACTTATGGCCTGAGATCTCCACAAAGCGTGGGGACCGAATTTCTTTTCCTGCTAAGTCCACTCACTTGGGCAAGAACATCCTTGCCCGGCTCAGAGACCGAGCCAGAAATGTCAGCGATGAGGTTGGTGCTTTGCAAATCACATGCAAACTGCAAACATCAAACTGCAAACTGGAGTTCACCTATTTGGAGGGGTTCGATGCTTCGAACACACGCCTGTTTTGATGTGCGGTTGCGATCCACTGCAGAACGAACTGCCATTGTCATGAATTGCCAAACTACCTTTAATAGCATTCGATCTTTTTGCCCACCAAGCACTTCGAAACATTCGTTTTGGGTGTAGACTTGTAGTAGTCCTAGTCATTTCGGGAACATCAACTCGCCCGTTTTGCTTTAGCCTGTCGCAGATCGCTGTGAAGACTGCCCTGCTGGGTGGCTTCAAGCAGACGGAGCATAACTACCTGCAACATGCGAAGAAGACGGACGACTGCTCGGGGAGCACGGCCTGAACCTCACGGCCTTCTGCTCGAATGAGCGCCTTTCCATGTATGGCGAGAGGAGCGAGAGGAGCGCCACATCATAAGGCCTGCACCATGACCGTGTTTGGACCTGATGAGCAAATGCGCCTGCGTCTTTTTCTGGCCAACTGTGCTTTGACCGCAAGAGCCTCCAACGTTGGTGGTTGTATATGATTGGCTTACTGTTACAGTGACCGATTCAAAGCCTGCTGAGCACCGTGGGGTGTCTCTGTGCTCTGTTTCCGTTCTGTTTGGTGCGAAAAACGCCCCGTCGCCGTCCGAGGTGGGGACTCGCGGGCGGTGCTGTGTGACCTCCGAGACGCAAACATCCGTTTGGAAAAAAAGAACAAAACAGACTAAAAGGAAGGGGTAGTTGCTAAGAAAGAGGAGGGAGTGAGAAGAAAGGATGCAACGTTTTTTGTTTTCTTTCAATTCTGTTCGCTTCAAAAAGCATGCTGCATTTGAGGTACCGCAGGCGCTGCACAGCGTCTCACTGAGGAAACTCCAAACTGAATGCAACGACAAAGCCAATTTTGAGAGAGTCAGCTCTTCGAAGGACCACAAACCGAACCTTCCTGCGGAGAAGAAGAGAATTGAGGCCCTCGCAATGGAAAAGGTCTGAGAGATTCTTGAGCTGTGATTGACTTCACTTGCCTCCTGAGGCTGCAGATGGAGGGGTGGTGGAAGTGCAGGGTGTTTGGCGCTGTGTATTGCCACAAAAGAAGCGCTGGGACCTGAGCGTGCTTTACATCAAGAGGAAACAAATCGAGTGTCTAGGTGAAGCCGACTCCTCCAATTTCAAGCGTGTCAACCGCAGGCTGTGTGAGTTTAAGCCATCTCAAGAGCCTGCGATCCTGATCAGCAATGGTGGAGAATCACCGAAACTCGAACTGCAGTGCGGTCACACTCAAAGTCGACACATGACACAGATCGTGGACTGTGGTGAACATAGCTTCAAAGTAAGCCAACTTGCGGGAGATGGATGCCTCTCAGGACTCAAAGTGCATCCAACACCCAGAAGTCTCGACAGCCTTGCTGATGCCCCTTTTTGGGAAAGTCTGACTGACAGCACCAAGGATAGGCTGATTGTGTCGATGCCAATCAATACATTGCGAAGTGCGCGTGAAGCGCTTTGCGAAACTTTATTTGAGAAAATGAGCGACTTCAAATCGATTTGCCTATTAAGCTCAACATTTTTAGCCACTTTGGGAGCCGGACTGGCAACAGCGCTAGTGGTTGATATTGGGCATGGTGGGATCCGAGTCACGCCTGTAGAAGAAGGCTATCCTCAGACGCACAACAGTACTTTTGGAAGAATTGGAGGAGCTGCACTAACGTCTCAGATGTCTTCTTTGTTGAATCTTGATTTGCAAGACGCTGAAAAAGCCAAGGAGAAGTCGGCTTGGGTTGCTCAAGATTTCGATGCGGAGCTTCAAAAGCTGAAGATGCTGGACTCGACTCACGGCCCAGCGAAGGAGCGTGAGAAAGGCTTTCTGTGCGGAGAGCTGCTTTTCGATGTGCAAGCGAGTGCGTCAGCGTGTGCATCTACAAATGCGTCCAGGGAACCCTTTGCGGCGCCCAGTGAAACGTTGCCTTCTTTGGTGATGAGCAGTCTGCGGTTGCAGAGCAACATCAATTTACGTGGGAAGCTTCTGGAAAACATCATTCTCTTTGGAGGCACTGCTCAACTGCCTGGTCTTCAGCCGAGATTTGAAAAGGAGCTTCGATCTCAGAGCCAGTGGGTTGCACCGGGTCAAAGCTTGGATATGGTGAAGGTCTGTGAAGTTAACACCACGTCTCCCCATGGCGAGCCGTGTTCGCAGATGTCGCTGCCTTGCTTCGGGGCTTCGTTGGTCGCTGCTTGTGACGTGATGAAAGAGCTTAGTATCACTCGAACAGCGTATCAAAGTTTTGGCTGTCAGGTGGTGCATCACATGTTTCTGTGACAAAGCCTTGCCCACATGGTCACTCGTTTCATTTGCTCACAATGGGCACCTGATCTGAAAAAGGCAGCTGAAGAGATTCGACCATTGCAGTGGGTAAGCTTTTGAATACATGGCGCATCGCACGCTTTTCAGTAGGCTTTTAAAAAGTCGAATGCCCAACTGGCTAATTAGCCCTATTGCCTTGCGGTCCTTTTCCTCGAGAACTCCCACGATCCCCAGGCCTCACCAGCAAGATCGCCGGCTTGGCGGTGTCTCGCAGCTTTGGGGACAACGACTTCAAAGGCGAGATCGGTTTTTCTCGCCCGAAAAAACCCGCCCCGGTGTCGACCGCTTTGTTTTGGACGTCTCAAACTCGAAGAGACAGAAGATTTTGTCTCTTTTGAAGAGTTTTGCTTTGAATCGTTTTCCTGTTCATTCCTCTTCTCATTCCAACAGTTGCAGAGGACCTCTTGAAACTGCTCCGAAATTCACTTTGTGCACTGCGTTGCGAATCGTCATTTTCAGGTCCTGACATTGTCAGTGCAGAGCCTGAGATCACCGTCCACGAGGCATCAGCGGCAAACGAGCACGCCTCTTCTTTTGTTTGAAGCGCAATGATTTCTACGCCACCGCATAGTGCAGGTGGACTGGGATGCAGATGAGCAACTTTCCTGCACTGGTTTCAAGCTAACAGAAGAGCTCAAACACGGCATCTTTCGTTTGAAAGTTGTGGCCAGGCTGAGATTTGGCTCAGGTTTGTAATCCTCGCAACGGACGGCATCTGGGATGTCCTGACAGACAAGGATTCAGCCCAAGTCCAAGTCATGGAAAGCTCTGGAAAGCACCTTCAAAGGTCAGCTGCAACGGATGGGATGTGAGCTGGGCAGCTGGACGTGAAAAGGACGGTGGGAACGAGACATGAGGTGGCCCTGGTCCGGCACCACTTGCTCACTGGCCAGACAGAACAGCAGGCTGCGGAGGCCGGACCAGAGCGGAGCACGCAGAGCTTCTGAACGTCGGTGATTCCTGACCACTTAGGGACTTCGTCAATTACAGGATCACCGATGTTTTTCCAAGGAGTCGTCAAGGTCAAGCGCGGTACAAAAGACTTCTGGACAGTTGCACGATGCTATAAGGGCTAGTCCATCACGGACAACAATACAAAGGTTTGCAGACTACACCTAGCTTCCAAATGCTCGCTTGAGTTGCGAGCAGGTTCCCCATTCGTGATTTGCGCCTTTCTGCTTCTGCGTCAGCTCTTGGTCTCTATCGTTTTTCGTGCTCTGTAACTTGTGATTCGTCATCCTTTCTTGAATCGTTTTCCGGTGAGTCCACAGTGGATATCATTTGCCAGGCCTTGGTAAAGCGTGCGCGTGAAAAAGGCAGCCAAGATGACTGCACAGCCATGGTGCCTTGGATTTCAGAAAGCGGAACAACAGGGGTTAACCATCCCAAGTCTCTCTTGCAAGAGAGCCACATGATCCCATCCCATCGGGTTGTGTGTCTGCGTTTGCTGTTTGTGGAATGCACACTCTCAAAGTTGAGGGGTTGTGAGTCTTCCATTGGCTGCAAGAAGGTGGTGCGCTTTGCATGGGCCTCCAAGGTGTGGAGGGATCAGTGTTGGCTCAAACGTGCACCTGACGTTGGACGTTGCACACACATCAAGTCATTCACCACATTTTCATGGCGTCAGCTGGTCTTTGTTTTTTTGGCAACATGTCAGCTTTTCCTCCAACTGAGGGGACTTGCCAGGGAGAAGCCGTGGAGCCGGAAGGTGAGGCAGAGCCTCAAGCCCACGTCCCAGAGGAGGGTGCAAATGGCGAGATGGAGGCCACTTGGAAGGGTGAAGGGATGCATGCGTGCTACAAACGATTGTGATATGATATAGACCTGCATGAAAGTCGGATTCATGCCGAAGATGGGGGACCTTAGTCTTGGTTCATATTTCTTTGCTTTACTAGAGACAGTCCTTGTTTCTAGGGTGAAGGCTATCGCTAGTAGGTTGGAGGCCATCGCTGTTGTAAACAGACGCAGTTTTCGTGACAGTTGGCTCACAAGAGAAGAACGTCATCGTCTCAAACAACGCATCGACTCATGGCGGCCGCTATTCCTGCGCGCGCACGGGGAGCTGTGCTGGGCTCCTTGGTAGCAGACGCTGCTGCTGTGCCTGTGCACTGGTGCTATGACCCGGCAAAGCTGGCAGATCACCTCAAGCAGGCCAAAGGAAAGGACCAAAAGGATCCCCTGGACAATATAGACCAAAAAGAGACTTGAAGAAGTATTTTCTAAAGGAATTCTAGGAGCAAGGACGCTACTAGAACCTCCTGGCCTTGCTACTAAGAACAAGGTTCGCTACGAACGGGGCTCCTGGCATCGCTACGAACGGAGCGATCGGACGACGCTACGATTTTCTCACCAGTCGCTTTGGTTTGTTGGCCTTGGTTGGCCCAGCGAAATCGTTGGAAGGCAAAGAGTGGCCCGGCCTTTTGTGATCCGCCGGGAAATGTCTTCTACACCACAGCGCGAGGAGGAGAGCCAGTGCATGCGATGCATCCCGCATAGATCATTCACATCCTTTTCAATGGGAGTCGGTGAGTTGCAGGGCCTTCTCTCTCTCTCTCTTGCATTGTGTATCATTGTGTCGGGCAGGCTTTAGCTGCTATGGTGAACAGAGCATGGCACTCTTGGAATCCTTGGTTGAATGCCACGGCAAGTTGGATGCAGAGGCAAGGGCCGGCGAGGGCTTCCAGAGCTGTTAAGCAGCATCCGTTGAATCCGTTGAAGGGGACTCTCACTGAACAGCTTTTGTTATGTGTTCTTCTTTCAGAGTTTACAAAATGCCTTCTCAATCCTTCCTTTGACTTGGGAAACCTGTGAGGACTTTGCAAAGCGACTGGAGGCCAGGTTTGGAAAGGCCAGTCCGTATGAGGTGGAGGCTGTTGATCAGGAGCAGTTCTTGAGATTTCGTTAAGGATCCATGTCGGGTTACAGCAGACGAGGTGTGTCAACAGACGAGGTGTGTCCACCTCTTTTTGGATCCGAAGCGTCACTCGGTGTCCGGAATCGAGGAGAACTGGCCGGAGCTGAAGACGAATCCCACGGATGCCGAGGGGAACGTCATCGAAGCGGAGAGGAAGTGGTCCATGCCGTTGCCGGGCCCCTGGCGTCATGGCTCCATCAAGGCAGGTGAAAAGCTGCAGCGTGCAGGGCCTTCTTAAGCGGCCTACGGCCTTGGTTGGTTTTTCAAAACGGTTGAACATGGGAAGGTTGCAGAAGGGGACAGTTTCAGGTGAGCAACCAAGGGGTCTGGACTCCTCGCGTTGTGCCAAAAGGACATCATTGGTTGATTGAAGTCATGGAACTCTCGTTGATCGCTAGGGCTTTCTTAAGAACTTTGTGAATGAGAAGAAGCTCTATCCAGAGTGCGGCTCCACTGATGAACAGGCCAGAGTTGATAACAGCTCTCAGGGGAGTTACACTGATGAACACGTTTAAAGATGTTTGAAATTAGAAGAGGAAGGCACACCATCAGCGAGCCCATTTTCACTGTAGCTGCAGGTGGACGGAGTTTGCAAAGTCGCTCCAGTGGTAGCTTTATTTGCCGGAGACCCCAACATGCTGCCCACAGTTGATACGGCCGTCCGAGTCGTGCAGAACACTGACAAGGCTGCCGCGTTTGCCTGTGGCTTTGCACGTGTCTTGGAGAAACTGGTGCTCGGCACAGCTTCTGTCCAAGAAGCGATTGCTTTGGCAACGAAGGAGTTGATGGATCCCGAGCGTGCTTTCAAAACGACCTTGGACGATCAAGTGGCCAAGACGTTGGAGCGTGTCGTCGGTGAACTGGCAGGGCTGTCGCATTCGGATGCAGGCATGAAGCTGAAACCTGAAGCTGTAAGCTTTCCCTTCGCAGGACTTGCCTGATCTTTACCTCAGTCTCTGATTTTGCCTCTGCACTGCGCACAGGAACCAACTTATGTTGAAGCTGTTGAGGCCAGCATTGCCTGCGGTGGTTGCACTGCAAGCCGTGCCTCCATTGCAGGTGCCTGCTTCGGCTCCATCTCTTCAGCCGAGGGAATTCCCGTGGAGTGGGTGGCCACCACGACACAGGGTGCTCGGGTTCAGGAGCTGGCGGAGAAGCTGGTGGCCATGCGTAAGTAGCCACATGTAGAGATCTACATCAGCATGTCGCACATCGCAGCACCATCTCTTCGCGTTTGTACACAGGCTCGAACCAACAAGAGTCAAAGACTCTTTTTTCTCCTCTCAGATTGTCAAGGTGGGTTTCTCTTGCCTTGGAGACGTAATGACAAGACTGCAGCGAACTGAACTGCAGGCTTGGAGAGTTTCCATTGTGAGACAGGCATACCTGCCGTTGTGAGTTTCCTATTGAACAGGAAGATCAAGGGCCAGGGTTGGACTCGAGTTTTCCAGTTCTTTGCATTTTTCGATGACACACTTTTGCAGGCATTGTATGTGTGTGCGTGTTTTATTCTGAGATTCTCGGGCAAGGTCGGGGAAGAGGAAGAGGAAGAGATGATGGAGGATGATGCAGAGGCAGAAGCTGAGGCATGAGTTCTTCCAAAGCACCTAGCAACTTGTGCAATTCAAAGTTCCTTTCGCTCATCAACTAGCAGCATCATTTCAGATATTTAGTTTTGCATGTGCAAGGCTTTGGCACAAATGGCAAAGGCTATGGCTGCCAATCCAGGAGCTGTATTGGGCCCTGATGGGGAGGAAGATGAGGCAGAGGCTTGGAGCCAGCAAAAGTTTTGTTCTTCTTTTGAATAGCTTTGCTGTTTCGTTCTGCTCGGTTTGGTGGTTTCAGCAAGCATATTTGGTGAACATGGATTTGAAAAGAGTTTCATCAATCCCGAGAGTTGCCAGGATGTTGCAACCGAAGCCCGTCCACTGACACCCTTGAAATCCAAGGCACTGAACGGGCTCTGACATGCAAGCACTCAGGCCCTTAGGAGATTAGCTGCTTGTTTAGGCAGAAGATCGCGATATTTTTGCCGACGGTGAGACGGAAGAGCAAGACGAGGAATGATATTGCAGACACAGCTTGTTGTTTTGGGTTCTGAGAGCAGCAGGTCAGAGCTACTCTTCCATTGTGGCAGCAAGTCATATCCCTTGCCTTGTGCGGTTGGATTCTTGTTTGAACAGCAAGGAAGCTGCTGGTCTCAAGCGCTGGGATAAAACCAACGCAACAGGCGAGCTCATGAATGATGAGCCTGTTTACATGAGACTGTCAAACAACATCTAGATGAGAATACACACAAGCATCCTATCTCATGTGCCTTTTGTGTCTAATTCACAATCAACACGAAGCTAACTATTCTGTGTGTACGGATTGCGCATATGTGTGTGTTTGTACATGTCATGTACTTTATTTCTACCCATACTGCTGAGTTCTAGCACAAGCTTTGTCACTCGATACGAGCGTTGAGTCAGATGGGGTGACACTCCGCTTCTCAATCTTTTGAAGAAATAGGATCTAAACAACGCAGTCAATTTGGGGCTTTTTGGCCTCTCACCCTGCCTGAAACATGAAACATCGATGACTGAGCACTGCTTCGCCGCTCAGAATTGAAACCTTCTCCCCTGAAACATCGCCTTCCTCTGCTGCAGAAAGTGTTGTTTGCCGTCATTGTAACAAGTACATCGTTGGTAGCAAGAAGCTACCAGTAGCTTCTTGCTAATAGTAGTGTTGCCGCAGTGTTGCCCTTGTTACTAATAGCGATACGATGCACTTGTTACAATGGTGGCAAACGGGTAGCAAGAAGTCAGATCTTCCAAAATCAACCTCCCGTCTTCATCAATAAGGAGACTCTATTTGATACACGCCCATATATAGATTCATTTATGAATCCCTCCACGAAGTTCCGTGGAGCTCTTCCTCACTATTTCCAGATTCGGAATATACATTATAATGCCGTGTGAAACTTGGAGCTCTAGCAAATGAGTGGTCAAAGGGAAAAGCACAACATGAAGCTGAACAAAATGCAGCGTAAGTGAAGCCTTCAAGCGTTGAAGAAAGGAGCGACGCACAAGCTTCGTGACATGAGCTCATTCTGTGTTCTCAAAACCCGAAGCGACACAGCGAGAGAAAACCATGCACGCCCTCGAATGGTGCCCGGTGCCCCTTGGCCCTTTGATGGGGCTCGAGGTGGATGAGCACTGCTCCTTCTGCAACTTATTTCGCAACCAATCTGAGGGTCAGGATTGCACCTGGAGCCCTTGAGCTTGGAAGCATTGTGCTGTAGATCCGTTCATCGGTTCATCGTTCATTTCACCACACGGGTTGAATGATTTTGGGGTTGTTAGATTCGTCGATTCGTCTTTGATTGGCAGGAAGGCGTTTCTAGAATTTGCCAGTGTTTCGCCAGGCGCGCTAATCTCGCCGCTCTTCGAAGGGCTTGGCCCCACCAAAGAAGAGCTGGCAGCTGGCCAAGATGGCCAAGGCCAGCAAAGAACAAATGAACATGAATCAAATTGAATATATATGTTTTCTTGACTTTATTGATATTGTTTTGGTTGTTATCATGTTGGATTTGGAGCTTTTCAGCTGCAAGCACACAGGTAGCTCAGTGATTGGCGGCCTGCTCAAGGATGTCGGTCCGTTCCTGAAAGCAAAGCTTGAAGATCCATGTGGAGCACGTGCCTCTTCTCAGGCGACAAGGCAGATGCTGAAGAGCGCGCAGAAGCCAAAGAAGCCGTAGATGCCGATATGGATATGTTCGGCTAAGAGGTCACAAAATGAGTACGAGTTGTTTGATTGTTTGGCAAGGAACCCAAATGAATTTGATTTCTTTGAAGTTGAAATGGTGCAAGTTTTGCTGGTGCTTTTGCATGCTTGGGCAACAGCTCGGACTTGCCTCTCATTTTTCTGGCTAGCTCACTGTTTAGGTTGCACACTTCCGACTTGCAGACTTTGTTTGACCATCGGGGAGACATTGGATTTTGCTGAAATGCAATAGATTGGTTTAGCTTTCCTTGAGCTCTAGCGGTCTCAGAACATGACCATTTGGGTAAGTCTTACACTCCGGTCACGAAGAAACCGGTCCCTTGAGACATCATACACCTGAGAAACACATGCGCGTTCCCAGGCTCGGTAGTGAGCTGTGGCAACCATGTCATACCTTGCTGGTTTGTATGACAAGACAAGAGCCAAGCTGAGCAAAGTCGTTATGGGCCTATTGCACCGCCGAACATGGCCATGAAGCGCCTCGTTGGGAACGGCATGGTGTTGAGCCCCGTCCAGGTGAGAAAGTAAGAAGATATATTGAATTGAATCAGACATGAGGCTTCTTCGCATCTTGCCGGCAGGCACGATAGAATGGCTGGCCGGGGTCTGGATCTGAGGTTTTGCATTTGGAAAGTGCTTGGAAGAGCTGCTATCAGGAGGGCATTTTTTGAATCTGCAGGCTCGAGACAGATGGACGACGAGGGCATTTATGCACAACTTCTGGAACAGGCGTTGACAGTTCTGCGATCACTTTGTGCCAATGTCCTATTCTAGCCACCCTCCGTCACTCTCTATGGGACCTCTCTCTCTCTCTGAACGAGCTCCCAGGCGAGTGACCTCAATGACGAGCTCTGCCGTGAGAACTGCGAGCTGCGCCGGGAGGTGGGAGCCTGCGAACCTGCAGAGCATTGCAGAGCTGCGATCTGCACAGATCGAACGAATTTCGGAGTCCGCGGAGTGAGTTCATGATGATGTTTTAAAAGTTGGATTTTCGATGATATTTCAAGTTTACCAAGCAGATATTTCTGTTTGGTAAATCGTTGGATTTCGATGATTCTTATTTTTTTGATGGGCCATCTTCCAACGTTGGTCCATGATTCCGGCGAATGCAACGGATTCTTCGACCGGCTCCATCCGCTCCATCCACCGACCTTCACTCGTGCCGCAGGTCTCTGATCTGCGACAGAGGCAGCTGCAACGCATGAAGAGAGGCAGGTTTTGACAATATTGGGACATGATGAGTCACAATGAGGCTAATGGTTGAGACATGTTGAGACAATGGCATGAAATGAAATTGGGGAAGAATCGGAATTTCAGATAGCTTATGATAGCTTAGACTAGTAACGGAACGTTAAAAGCTTGTTTGCCTGCTTCAAAGATCACGTCTGATGCCAGATGCTGAAGGAAGCCGTAGCGCCAAAGCTGGAGACTAAGCATTTGCTGCACGGTCCTGGTCACTGGTCACGTTGTGAATGCTGCACGGTCCAGGTGCGGAAGATCATGCCACAGGCCATGTAAGAGTCTGAGCAATTGCCGCTCAACAAGGTGTCGGTTTTTTCCGGCAAAAAAGAGCCCACTTGACGTCAATCCGGATGAGCGGCGCCGCTTGAGGTCAAACATCAGAAGTGCATTGCGGGATTTGGATCTTGAAGATGCACCGAGCATCGAGGCCTTTAGCTGCCCATTCCATGCATCTTCTCTGTGCTCCTTGTGTCTCAAAAGGAATTGTGAACAAAGCGCATGGTCAATCTTTTGTGGAGGGACTTCCCAGTCTTCTCGAAGAAGCGGCCAATCGGGCCGGACTGACAGCGATTGATGGGCGAAAGCAGCTTGTTATCGTTTGCTTGGTGCTTTCGTGTGTTTTCTCTTTTCTTTGTTTGAAGCTATTTTGTTGTTGAAGGTCTTTGCTTCCATGGCAGAGCTGCAAGAGAGCAATGCAGCTATGGCCTCCGGGGAGGTCCGGTTCACCTGCTTGCGTCTTCGCTGCCTGCTTCCCGCCGCGGATCCTGGGTCGGGTCGGTGCAGGAGACCGCCGCCCTGATTGCCGAGAAAGTGGCCTTGAAGGAGACCGGACAGATCGAAATTGAAGCACTACGTCTCGACTGGGAACTGCTAGGAGTTCTGTATCCACCAGCAACAACGTCTCTCGGAGCTGGAGCTTGCGAAGGCATGGTTTCAACATGGTAGAAGAGAAGCTGAGAAGCAGAAAAGCAGAGAGGGATCTGTGAACTTGAGCCACCAACAGCTGCTCCAAACGCTGGAGGAAAAGCTGACGGCGACATCCTCCAACTGGGCTTTGCGTTTGACGTCTGCATTACAGGAGACCCCGGGAGACCGAAAGTCCTGGATGGCTCTTGCAAGAGAAACCAGCAAATCTGCTGAACTTCGAGCAGAGTTGATCCGGGTCCATGACAGGGCATGTCAGAACCTGCTGCTCTCCCATCTCCGTTCAGGGCTTAGAGATGTGGTGGAAACGAACCTGACTGTTTTCCTTCTTTCAAGGGCCAAGAATAGTGGCAGTGCACAGCAGGAGGCTGGCCTGGTGGGTGTGCGTGTGGTCGTGTTTGGGCTCTCTTTAACGAGACTATTTTCTAGGCACACATTTGCCTGGGAGACAATTTGATCCTGGGAGACATCACCTCGACCAAAGTCAGAACACTCCTTTTTTGATACCGAAAAAGCAGGTTCCACCACTGATTGTGAAGGTGGGTGATGAGCCCGGGGAGCTCAGGTGAGTAGCCCGCTGTTTGACGTTTCGACTGTTTTATGGCGGTCGTGATTAGCCCAAGGTGTGAAGTCGTCGGCAAAAAGGGCGCCATCTTGAGGGAAACCGAAGATCTGCAGAGCGCTCTGGTCCTCTACCGAGAGTGTAGCTGAAGACACCACAGCCAGAGAGAAACTGAGGAAAGGATAAGAACGGAAGGTTGAAAAGGATTCTAGATGTTTAATTAAAACTCTAAGAAGACATGAAGAGCTGACCGGCAGCACGATACAGCACCTCAATGGCTTGCATTCTCAAGAGGTCCGAAGATCTTTTGTGCTCGGCTTCTTTGATCAGGTAGCCACAGTACCTCCCTATGGGCATGCAGGGGCCTCAGAACAAGCTGGCGCTGGTTCAGTTGAAGGCACTAGAAGCGTCGATTTGTAGCTCGCGAAGCATTTTCAGAGAAAACCCTTACTATGCTCTCCCAGGTTCGCATAGTCCAGGCAAGGCTGTTGCTGGGCAATTGGCGGAGCAGAAGAGCATGCAGATGCATATGTAAATTTACAATATATGTCTAGTGCAATTCAAAGTAATATTGTCATTGCTATCCTTCCAACGGAACGACAAGAAAGATCGGAAGAAGACGAACATATGCATCATAGCTGTCCTTGGTAGCAGCTTGGAACTCCATCCGATCCTAGATTCACACTGTAATACATACTTGCATTGTACACATGCATGTATCCCAGAAGGACATTCTTAGAGAGGCCCTATCAAAAGGCTTCCAATCGCCTCCACGCTGTTTGAAAGTTAATTTCTTGAACCAACCCGCCCACTTCGAGAACAGCGGCAAAGTGAAAGCTCTGAAATCTGATCACAGTGGAGTCACAAGCAACACGCGTTCCTATTTCAGGTCGCTGCAACACAAGCTCGGCGTGCTCTGGTCGAGGTCAAGAACCCAGGAGGGGACCTTTCTGTCTGTGAATGCTTGTAGGGCTAGTCAAATGCTTGACTCAGTAAAACTTTTTAAAGATTCTTTCTAAAGTCCGTTTGATTTAGTACTGTATCGCAGCATGGCCCATCTCATTGGATTTTTTCACCTCTTCGGCCATGCCACGTGCTGAGGTCATTGACTCTCCGGAGGTCCCGTGGGGCGTTTTTGGTTTCGCGTGCGGTCGATGTTGGCGTCGTGACCGCCAGCGCAAGCGCAGGTGGAACCAGCGCCGGCAGGTGGATGCGGATGTCTCAGAAATTCGAAGGGATGAGATGTTGAAGTTCTAGCCGGATGGACAAGCCCAGTGTAGAGTCCTAGTATGTTTGTGCGAGGTGCTGTGCCTGGCGCAATGGGATGGCTCAGTGCCGGGCCGTCTCAGCTTTGCGTTGTCTTTATGTTATGGGAAGAGTCACAACGATGGTCAGGAGAAATAATAGAGACTGATACGGTTTCAGGTTTGAAGTCTCGGGAGCTTCCAATTAATGCTCTTTGAATAAGCCTTGCTCGAAGATTCATCGATGACTTGAGGTTTCAACAAAGGACGGAAAACCGCTGCTCCGACCAGAGAACAAGTCGGAAGCTTTACCCGTAACTTGGCTGACATAAAAAGAATCGTCGGTTTACACTCTCGAAAACTAACATGGAAGTGGAAAACCCCCTGTTTGTAGTGGAAAATGGTCTTCCCAGGGGCCATTCTCCACTTCCATGTTACTTCCAGGGAGTGTAAGATCATTAATAATTAAGTTATGTTGGATTTCACTTAGACGGATCTGGACGCACCGCAGCAGCACCATGCAACACAGTGACGCGGGTGGGCAGCGTCACTGCCCTTGGTCAGCATTCTATCTAAGGCGCCGGAGGTCAGCGAAGAAGCACCAAGGCTTGGTGACTCAGGTGTTCGACATCTCCGCCGATCTCTGGAGTGTTTGAATGATGATTCATTGGAGTCTGAGGACAGACGTTGAGATGGAGAAGCCACCAGAGGTGGAGAAGATAGAGAACGAAGGCGACTTGGTGTTGCCGCAGTTGCCTCAAGTCGCGTGTTGGCTTTTTGGAAACTCATGCGGATGTCTTGCAACTTACGGTTATTGGATTGGAGGTAACCAGATTCAGGAGGTTCTATATCAAACAATTGTGTCAGGTGAGCCTGGTGAGCCTTCCCAAGAGTTGGAGAGTGAGCAGGTGGAGGAGAACGTCGGAGAGGCCTCGTTCGGGTCACTGCACTATTTAAAGGTAATGTACTTCTTGCCGAGAAAAGTTGGAATTGTCAATCACCTCACTGGTCCATCAATCACAGTGCAGAAGACGTGAGAACTTGACAACCATCTATGGTTTGGTTCGGTTTTCGCTGCTTTCTTGAGCCTGTCAAGGTCTTTGAGTATTTCCCATCCCCAATAGGCTCTAGCAGCATCTTAGATCCATCCAATAAGTTCCCGTTCGGAACCTCCTAGGTCCTATAGTCTTCCTTCGGTCGAGCTCTTGTCGACTCGTCGACTCGGAAACTGGTGACCCGTCACTTTTTGAGGGTAGTAGAGTCAAGCGGATGTTTTCAGGCAGTTGTTTTTGGTTTAAATCTATTTCTTAAGTTTAGTTGAAGGACCTAGTTTATTACTATGATTAAACTTGAAGGACTTCTTTTCTTGGAGATGTGTTTGTTCGAACGTGTTGAACAGGTGCTGAACACTGAGATGGACTTGCAGCTAGTACCCTCGTTGCCTTCAGAGCAGCTTGGACGAAATTGCATTTTTGGGTGATACACAGTCGGATCAAGACATCTCTCTTTGTCGAATCTTTTGGAACCAGCTCGGACCAAGACAATATCTGAACATGCTAGTGGGTTTGTTAGGGCCATGGTTTTGATGGGATGAGCATGAGCTGGAGGTTGCCAGAGCCGGCTGACGGAGCTCAACCTCCTCAAGATACTCAAGGAGCTGCAGGAGTCAAGCAGCGATGTCTTTTTGATTCTCCAAAACAAATGCCGACGGATTGCCAAGCGGAAAGGATCTGTCACGGTGAGCACAGAAGCTTGGGTAGCTCTGCGACAAGAAAGGACAGGGTGTTCAGATACCCATCGAACTGGAGTCTGTTGTGCTCTCATCCTTACTGGATAATGCAGAAGCGAATGCGTTTTCATAAGAGTATCCCCAACTCTCCTAAACATGCTTACCACTTTTTGGCCTGATCCTTGAGCTACCTCAGGGCCCAACGAGAGCGGCAGATCAAGGCCATGCAAGCGCAGGCGGTGTTAGCGTGGCAAGTGGGCAAGCAGCGCTTTCCCCAAAAATGTAAGTTTCCCTAAGCATAGAGGAACCAAATTATTAGTGCGAGCGCTTCTTCAAGGAAGCTCCCCTTGCCTGAGGCGGGGCGAGCTTGCTTGAAGAAGCGTGAACTATCCTGCGTCCTAGCTAGGAGCTTCCTATTGCTAGTAGCGAACTATTCCCTTGCTTAATTAGGCGCTGACTTAATTAAGTAAGGAGGCAGGGCCACGGCCATGGTGCTTAACAAACTAATGTCCCAGTGACCAACGGGATAGGAATCCTATGCTGCTGCTCCCACTCCGAACTTCCCAGCACAAATAACGAAAGGTTGCCTCAGGATGCCTCTGGCAACCTGAGTTTAAGGCCCTTTAGCCTCCTTGCTCCTAGTAGCGATGCCAGGAGCCCGTAGCTTCATGCTCCTAGTAGTAAGGCCAATTAGCTTGGCTAAGGGGAATCCAAATGATCACTTTTTTGGTCTTGTCTTGTCACTTATATAGCCTAATTACATGCTGGGATCCAAAGGATGCGCCACATTGGTTCACTAATTCATATGTGAACATGAACAAACCATGTTACTTACAACACTTCTTTCAAACTCTTCATACCCAGTACCACGGTGTATCAAGGGGTGTATGGGGAGCGAGCTGATATTTGCTGCGCAATTTCATCTGATTTTGGGTCACTAAAGGCGATTCTTACCCTTTTTTGGGGAGCCCGGTGGGGTTTAACTTTTCCCGGGTATGTATCAAGTTCCCTTCAATTGTGCAGTGGCCTGGTGTGATTGTATTCGTATCCAGCTTGTCGACTTCATGTACCTCTCTACTTCATGCAAATCACTTGGACATCCTCACTTACTCACCTGAGCTTCATCCTCGTTCTGGTGCTTTTTCTTCATGTGTGTTCCCACTCATGTTCATTCCGTGCCTGACTTCTTTTTTTGCTCCGCATACTTTTGCTGGACCTCATGGTTTGCTGCTCCTGCTAGTCCTCCTGGTCTGCTGCTCGTTCGCTGGGTTTGTGTGCGCGCCACAACCATCACCAGGTGCTTCCCTTTGTCACAGACACCATGGTTTTCCTTCCCCTTCCCTTTACCGAACAACCTTTCGTCCACCCCCCTTCTCTCAAGTCCCTGGAATCACATGTGCGCAGCTTTGTTTGGCTAAAAAGGAAGAAGCACTCAAAGATTTACTGTATCGCGATCTCTGTGGATGTGAAACAAAGCATGTCATGTACAGATCTTTTCAAGATCTTCACAGATCCCTTTTCTTTCGATTCCTTGTCGGACTAGGTGGACTCCGCTCGCATGCAGCTGGAGCAACTCGATGAGGTCTGGAGACCAAGGGAAGAGTCTCGGTGTGTACCAATCACGGAACGGAACGGAACGTCACGAAGGGAAGAGCCAAAAAGATGTTATGTTCAGTGAATATATATATATATATATATTAGGCGATAGCAATAGCAGTAGCAGCAGCAGAAGCGGTAGCGGAAGCGGTAGTAGGAGTAGTAGGAGGAGGAGCAGCACCAGCAGCAGCGGCAGCAGCAGCTTCCTGGCTCTACAATGGACTGCCAGAACATTGTTTCCTTGTGTCTCTTCTGAGTTCTGTTTATTCCTTCCCGGTCTGCGCAGATGCGCCAGGTCAAAGCCAAACTTCGCGAGTATCGCTCGGCAGCCTTGGAGGCAGCGGGGAGGAAGAAGGCCACAAGTTCAGAGGGAAGCCCCGTCGGATGCACCATGTTGTTTTCTCACTTCTCCTCCCAACACCATGGTGGCCAGGCACGTCAGCGTGGGCAAGAGTTTCTGGAGGGCCTTCATATGGCCACAGAGGATCGTGTTGTGCCACTATGGAAGATGACAAGCAGACGATGTGGCGTTAGCTCCATTGAGAAATGAGGTCAAGAGACTTTGTCAAGGGTTTTTCTGGCCGCATGCATGGTGCTTTTGTTAGTTTCTTTGGGTAGGTGTGGTCAAATGATGTCAGCTGTGAGCATTTGGTCACGTGTGCCTATTCAAGCTCTGCATGAGGAGCTACGAGTACTGCCACGTCCGGAGGCCGGTTTTGGGCAGATGAGGATGACCATGTGCCACTGATGACAATGCTTTAGGCGACATCGGAGCCGGTTCCAACAGAAGAAGAGCCAGGCCAGACCATTGTTGCCAAAGCAGCTCACAACTTTGAACCTTCTTCTTTATAATTTGTATAGGTTTATCAGTTTCTTTACATTCCATTGACTTGGACAATTTGCCCCATCTCAGAATTTTCCAAGACTTGCTTTGGAGGAGCTGAAGTCATACCTGAGACTGAAGAGCCGCAAGCCTGGAAAGTGTTCAAAGTTCAAACGGTTCAAACGCATTCTTAAAATTTACGTATATAAAGCTCACAAGTTCTTTCTTTCTGCATGTTTCCTTATAAACCGCTCCCCAAACAGCGAGCTGCGAACTTTCTGCTTCGAGGCCGATTGCCCTTCCGGAAGATTCCGGTGTTGATGAAGGCTCAAGACGGGTGTATGTAAACAGGGATCTGCATATCCCAACACCAACACGCAGCCAAAGCCTTTCAGCCACTAGCTCCTGAGATCACACCACTAGCTACTTGGCAGCTACTTGGCAGCTACTTGGCAGCTACTTGGCAGCTACTTCCTGTTTCTATTTTTTGAATTCCCAGTCAAAGCAGTACATGCTTGAAGTGAGATTTGCAAACTCTAGAACTCCTTTTCTAAGTTTATAAATGTCTTGCGACCGAATGCAGATCTGAGCAGACCAAGATAGACTTAAGTCCTGTGTTTCTGGTGCAGAAACGGTGGAATGGCGTCGCCTCCTGTCCGAGCGCGAGACCACTGCCCGGGAGTTGGCGTCGACTCTTCGGCAGGTGGAGGCTGTGGCGTTTCAGAAGTGATTACATATGATTGCTATTTACACTGAAAACTGAGGCGTTTCAAGCGTTTTGGACACTGGGCTTATGATATTTGGGCACTGCCAGGAGATGGAAAAGGAGGTTGAAGACAAGAGGATTGAGCTGGACATTGCCCAAAGACGTCGTGAGCGCGAGCCGCTTGAACGCCAAGACGTGCATGCGTTGGGTGCGGCAGAAGAAATCCAACAAACAACTTGGCTTTGATTCTTTACCTTAGCCTGGTGACCTTTGATACGCCTGGTTTTTGGGTGACAAATTGTGATGCTCATACATAAAACATCATAAAACATGCTTTCATAATGGGTGCTACATCGTTATGCATTCGGCCAGTCAGCTCATGCTTTTTTCTTTTTTCGGGAGTTCCGCAAGCTAGTTGGGTGAGATCCATCCATTGAACATTCAAGAAGAAGGTGGGGATGGGTCAAAACTTGGAGTCCCAATACCATGTGGCTTGACCTCCCCTGGCTTGACCGCCAAGCAGGGTATCCTGGTGAACCACCCACGTCAAGATTCAGTGAGTCATGTGGATGTCGGTGATGCAGCTTCGCAACATGCTTGAACTGCTTCGATCGCCAGATTCAGTTGCATTTGTCAAGATTCATATGTAGAAACAGGAACGCACATTGACATAAGCCAACCTTCATATGTAGCATTTTCAACGTTCAAATGTTGTTTGTCTTGTTTGCTTCTGTTCTTGGACCTTAGCAAGTTCAAGGCGAAGCAGCCTCCTCATGGCACTCCGTGAGCTTGGCTCATGGCGTGAAGGCCTCTACTTCGCCCTCCAAAGGAAGAGCGATGGCCTCCAACCTAGTAGCGTCCTTGCTCCTAGTAGCGATGCCAGGAGCCCCTAGCTTCTTGCTCCTCGTAGTAAGGCCAGGAGCCCCTAGTAGTGTCCTTGCTCCTACTAGCAATAGCCTCCAACCTAAAGGCCGTTCGTTCTGAAATCCGTTCGCAAAGAGATGAAGATGCGACGAATCTTGCGACAACCCAGGACTCTCAAACCAGATTAAACGAATCTTGCTGGACACGTTTGCCAAGCATTTCATGAACTGACGGTGGTAAGCAACATCGCTGTGAAGTGTCAAAGAAGGGCTGCCATTCGTGGCAGGGCTGCTCTTGGGTGCACTCTTCCATGTCTAAGATATTTCAGGGTTGTTGTAGAGTATGAGACGAGGCTGCCTTGCTAGACATAGATGTGTAGTTTATTGTTTCAACACGGACGATTCTTCCAGGCAGTCCTAGCCAGAAGGATGATGAAGCAGTCCTGGACGAGGAGATGTGATTCCCGTTGTCTTTTACAAGCAACATTGGAAATCAAGGAGTCCACGCAAGAAGACCACGCTGAAACTGTTTGTGGTCTATGCTGGCAATAATTTAGGTTTAAGTCTTTATTACTTCTTTTTTGATTCTCTACAGGTCCGGCTCTTCTGAAGCGGCTCATTTTGACACCAACGGGAGAACGAGCTCGGCAGTCCCAGGAGACCTCTGATGGGCCGAGCTCTAGAACAGCCTGGCTGGGATCTCAAGCCAGGGCAGATGCAGGTTTCAAAGCCGTCCAGAGCATTTCTGAAAAGGCAATATTTCTATGTAAATCTAGTCCAGATAGCTAGAAGCCAAAAGTGCTTCTGACTTCGGGGCTCTCATGCCCATCACAACTTTCCGCTTGGCCTGATCACTGCCGGCCTATCTAGCCAGCCCAGTGGATCGGACTGCGTTCTGAGGGCATCGGAGTCGTCTCCCAGCACAGGCACCCAGACTCTTCACCGGAAAAGCACTGCTTTTGGCGAAGAAGCCCATGCCGAGGCGGTCATCCATCTGGCCAAAAGGCACCGGTGAGACGACTTGCCTTTCTCTCTTTGCTTCGATGCTTTTCCAATGTCATGGCCGAAAGGTCTCAATGTGTCAGAACAAGTCTTGTCTCGTACTAGACTCACTAGACTTGTTATGAGTCTTGACTCTTGACTTGTTTGGTGCCAAGAGAGCGACTTGTTATGGTCAATCAGGATAACTCCTCTCACATTTTCCAAATGCAGCCAGTTGAACGCCCTCAACTGCTTAAGTGCTGTGGTAACTCAGTCCTCCTTTGTGCAGGGCAGAGATGAGGTGGGGTGCCCGTGGAGCCATGTATTCGCGAGAATGATTCGACACTTCAAATGCGGCCAGGACAAGGAACGTCAGTACCTTCAACGCATCAGTGAGCAGGAATCTCAAGATGAATGGTTTGCAAGAAGAATCACATTGGATTTTGCTCCGCTTTGCCCCGCTTTGCTCCGCTTTGCTCATATTTGTTGAGGCTGGAAGAAAGTGTCTTGAAGTTGCAGGAGCAGATCGACACAGTCCAGTGCACACCCTGGACTTCTTGGAAGCCTGAAGAGAGCATCTAAACAGGACATGTTGCGTTTACTCTTCCAGAGGATCCTGTAGCACTTGTAGAGGTTTAAGGAGCGCTTCATCGATTTGCTTCCCTGAGGGCACGCATCGCGTTGCTGAACCAGCAGGTGCACCGTCCGGGCTGTTTACGCCATCGCTTGGACCATCCGGACGAAACGAGGCGGTGACACGACAGCAAGCCTTGCGCTATGCCTCTTCCTTGCCTTCGGTTGGGGTCATGTCCTTGGAGACCTAGACGGTGTCATGGCCATCCAGCAAGGTCTATCCATGAATGCCTAGAGATGAACATCAGAGTGTCAAGTGTAGAGGATGCTTTTTGCGTACGTTTGCTGGTCTGGAATCCCTTCGCTGTTCTGAGGGCTTGGCTGAATCCATCACAGCACGTGTCACCTCAAGACCAGACCTGGATGGTCTGACGGTGTGGTCCTTGTGGGATGTGCTCTTATGGCTCTCATGGCAATGTATATCAAAACAAGCAAAAGAACAGTAACAAACAAGATAAATCTGCTAGGTTGAAGGCCAGCGCTATTACTCTGGTTGAAGGCCACCGCTAGTAGGTTGCTCTAGTTCCCTGGCCTGGTCCGGTGGTCCTCCGTTCTGGTCCTTCTGTTCCGCTGGTCCCGTGGTTTTCTCTTCTATTACTTCTCGGCCTCTTACTCCTTCACGTGTATTTCATGGGCATCGGTCTTGGGGTCTGTGGTGCGTTCTGCGAAAGTTGCGCAATGAACTTCTACGTTTTTTCTCGTTTCTTACCCTTGTCGCGCTGAGGTCTTGTGTCACCAACCCCTTGAGAGCGCACATTCACCAACCATTCAGCTTGACACAAAGTCTGCAATGCGCGAGAGGAGGGTTCATACACCAAACACTTTGCCTGACACGAAATCTGCAAGTTGAGACACAAATCCACAAACTACTCCGCCTCCCACAATATCTGCACATCCATTTCAACAAAGTGCTGCACTTGCCACACAATTTGCGCTTCGAGCTCCGCCCACCACTGCGCCTGCCACGAAGTCTGCATTCTGAGGTCCAAGTGCTGTGCCTACCGCGAATTTGCACATAAAGGTTCACTAATTGCCATACCTGCCAGAAAGTGCACTGGGAATATTCTTTTGATCCTGTTCTTTTTTTTCTGTTTGATCCCCTTGGAACATTTTGTTGGACGCCGATCTCTTGTGCATTTTTTGATCCCTCACCCTGTTGGCGGTCTTTGGAGGGCAGAATGGGAAGCTTGATTTGCTGCACTTTATCAAGTATCCAGTATCTCTCTACTATCTACTATCTAGCCTAGCTACGATTGCTTGGTACTTCTGGATTCTTGCTTTCAGCATGTGCTGGAGTCGCAGTTGGCTGTAACATATCATGCCTTTGCGTTGAATGAGCCATGCCGACGCAGCCGTCCCAACGGGAGCAGCGCGACTTTGGCTTCTGTATCGCTTCTCTATTGGTGCTTGCAGCAGCTACGGGGGCTTTGTTCTATGCATCCCATGAGGCAAGACGGGAGGTACCGATACCGTAGGGTCCCGTAGGGTCCGGTTCCAACAAAAAGACCGTGATGTTGGTAGCTCAATTGAGCAAAACAACCGGAACTGACAGAGATTCTGCTTTTCCTTGACAGGGAAATCCCTGGAACTTCCTGACCCTTCAAGATGCAACTGGCCAAAGATGTGGCGTGGATGTCTCGGTCCAAGCACAACCATATTTGTTTCTTTGTCCAGACTCGCAGAGGCTTGACTAAGACAGAAGCCAACGGCTCGACCCTTCAGTCGGGCGACGTTTCTTTTTTGCTGAGCTCTTTCTTAGCGATAATGGGTCCAACCCCGCCGGAGTCTCTCTTCACATCTCATATACGGTTCAAAGTCATGCTGCCCAACCAAGGAATCAATTTTCCTCAACATCCACGACGGTCTGCGTAGACTCTTGCCCGGACAGCGGCTTGGATTGGTAGTCCTGACCATTTCTGTCGCGCGGGAATGCTTGTAGGTTCCTAGTCCATCCATTTGAGCAGAATTGCAGGTTCCAAGCCCTTTAAGTTCGGTTTCTCAGAATTTCCGAAAGGAAACCATTCACCTTGCCACGGCTTGCTGTTCGACCGTTCAAACCCACAGAGCCCACGCCTTCAGGTGGCTCTCCACCGTTCTTTTGCACCAGCGGCTATTCCTCGGAGATTTCTTTCAGCTCAGTATGTGTCCCCACTCGTGACTCAACGATGTGGTCACATTTGGATGTGCTTAGCTATGCCTTTTGGCCCGCACTTAGTTGCTCATCAGGGCATGCGGCATGCATACAAGAATATTAAGCCTTGCCTTGCTATCACTGCTTGTGGCCGTGCTATGCATTTTTGCACCGAACCCAGTTTCCTTTTCTCCAAAGCGTATGGTTGCAGTGAGGCTGTCCTGATTGGCTACTCCCTCCACGGTTTCGCACGTGCTTGGTTGTGCTTGTTGATCATTGTACCTGTGCTCAGTGTTCTTTGCAGCGTGCTTTTTCTCAGGCAGGAGCACTTGTTGAAACTGTCCAGAGACACAGAGAGAGGGAGGGAGGGAGGGAGGGAGAGAGAGAGAAGAGTTCAGTTGAGCTCCTGTTGTAAGATGTGCAGCTTGCCACATGTCTACCCCTGTCAGGACTCTTGGCTCAAGCCCCAAAGATATTATTTAGTCAACCTCTGTACAATAGACTCATAATAAACCACCACTAAGGATTTGAGCCAATTGTTTTGAGAGGTATATATATATATATATATCCACACCACTATAAGATAATGCAACAGATGTGCAGATTCCTTTTCATCTTTTTTGGAAGGATCATGCGGAGAAGAGCAAGCTGGATCTATTGGCCAAGTCTTAGCATCGTAGTTCTGGCTCTGGGAGCCATTGGAACTCTCTTTGCAATCAAATATGCAGACGAAAAGCGCAGCAACAGGGTTGCAAACAGGACCGACATTGGAAGCTTCTTGGTAAACAACGCTGAGTGGAAAATGAACAATCCCTCCTGCACTCAGTAGCAACTCTAGACAGTCGAGTCCAATCGATCTGAAAGCTCGTAACCAGTCCAATCGAGGCATGGATTTGATTTGCAGCATAGTGGCTTTTGTCCTGACTGCTTCTCGTTTGCAATGCTTAGCCTGCACCACCTTCAAAGTACAGACTGTGCCTACCTACCTCAAACGTATCATGAATCGCTTTGATTCAAGGTACTGATGCTTGCAGCAACTTATTGGTATCAAGAACGCATTTACGAGAGTTTCACCATCTTGGAAGCTGCTGCAGAATGCATGACAGACACTACATCGATGTTGACCGAGCCCATGCTTGAATGTCTGAAGAAGGCTCGCTGTCGCCCTCACTCGAATGCTCATTTTCTGTAGACGCAAGAAACTCAACACAGAAGTCTCGCAGGGTTATATATGGAGTCCTCTTTTCTGCAGGCAGTGCTGACGAGCATTTTCCTTTTTGGTACTCTGAGCCTTACGAGCTGTCGTGGCAACGTCCAGATTGTGATCTTTGTTTGCAGCATGGCTCTACCTTGATTTCAGATATATAAATGTTTGCTGCAGAGTTGCTTTGCACAAAATTGAATTGACAATAATTACCCACACAAACGCTGCTGCACAATAATTGTTACTGCGCTTGTGGGTGGTCAATATCACATCCACTACCTAGGGAAGCAAGGTTTGTAGTTTGTTTGGAGTTCTCTCTGTGGCCACTGCTGCAGGCATGCTCCTTTTCCTGATAGTTGTATTCCTATGGCTGGTGGAGCTTTTCCGAGCTCTGAGCTACTACATCGTAGGGTACCTCTCGCAGGATTGGTTCTACAGTACCTACGACCCCGATGTCGGTCACAAGATAGTGCCTTCTGGGCGTCTTTTGGAAGCTTACAGGACACCGGTCAGTCTCGAGTGAGAGGCAAATGAGGCAGCCTGTTTTTGTCTAGACATTTATTGATAGCATGGCAGCATGGCATTGCCTGTGGCCATCGCTAATAGGTTGGAGGCCATCGCTAATAGGAGGCCATCGCTACAGTAGTAGGTTGGAGGCCATCGCTATTAGGTTGGTGTCCATCGCTAGCAGGTTGGAGGCCATCACTGGCAGGTTGGAGGCCATCGCTACTAGGTTGGATGCCATTTCTGTCCATCTCATATTCCGGTGCATATTCCCTTCACCATTCGCAGTACTGCCTTACAGTTCCACATGGGCTCCTTCTGCTATGCAGCCATTGTCAACGTGGGTGTCAAACCCATTCGCTTTGTGCTTGGACTGATCACACCGATCACGAGACGCTTTGGGTCCTCCAGGTCAGGAAGCGTGGAAAGAACGACTCTTGGGATAACGAGAAACATTGTCATTGGGATAACACATTGACATTATGATGTATATATATATATATTGACAATCGTTTACACACTGCTGGCATTTTGTATGATATATATATATATATACATTGACATTATGATGTATAATGATGTATACAATTTTTTACTCAATAGTTAAAACAGATAATACGATGTATACAAGGCTCCTCTTTTTTGGAGCCGCAAGTCTCTAGTGGCTAGGGTGCGCAGTCAGTCTAGACCAGACCACAGACCACCGTCTCCGTTCCCTGAACGAAAAAGCAAAATGTCAACAGACTGCAGTAAACTTCCCGTACTTGTGATGTTCTTTTTTTTGCGTGCTAGTGCAAGTGTTATCCGTTATCCTTGACTGCTTCTCCATACTGGTTTCAAGAAGAGGATGCAAAAGGGTGGTTGTTGCGGTGCTCAGCCGAGGATAGCACCATACAGTGACTCTGCAATTCTTGCCATTGTACTAGATGGTCCTGGATATTTGGATGCATGCAATGAAGCAAATCAAATCCTAGCAGGTGAAGATTCCAATCGGCCAGACAGCATCCTGCTGGGAATGCGGATCGTTTGTGCCTGTGCCACTTCGGCCTGCGTGACGTTGGCGGTTTGGCTTGGCATCCATTTTATGCTCAGATACTTTGATGCATTTGATTTGTGGCTTCCCTTCTTCTCAAAGAGCCAACCCATCTACATGCACCTGGCTTGTCACAGTTCAACACACCTACAGTGCATGACATTGACACAGCCAGATGCCTTCCAAACCTTGTGAAGTAAACGCCAGTGAGGCTGTGTCGGCTGTTGCATGTTTGCCTACTTCGGTGGCTATTTTGCCATGTTTGCGCGTCCAAGTGAATATCAAACAATAGAAGTACACACTAGCTTAAGCAGCAAAGAAGTGTTTCGACGTACCAATGCGTCCACGAAGTTGAGGGGCGACCCCAAGACTGAAAAAGCATGCAGGCAAGCTGAGCCTGGCTGAGCCTCGACCCATCCCCAGCATGACGTGCCACATGTCCAACTCACCACTTGCTTGCTTTCGAGGAGATCTAGAAGGCCCAGAGATTGTCCTGGCGGCATTTCTCATGGCTCAACTATGTTCTTGGTCTTTTGTGGAATGCCTGGGCCACACAGCAGAGGCTCTACTCTTTACCTATCGGGCAGGCCGTGATGGCTATTTGGGAATTGCCGTGATGGTAGGTGAGAGGACCGGGCTCTTTGAGATGCCGGAGTGCGTTGGAGGTCAGGTGGGGCTCGCCCAGCCGCCAAAGCTTTCGCAGCTGCTGCCTGCCTTAAACTGAATCGCTGGCAAAGATTTCAGCGATGTGTCACCTCAACCGGCTTTTTACGAAATCATGAGGCTGTAAAAGTTGCTCAACACATTGTTCGACAGAACATGACAGAAGTAATTTAGTCGATCCTTCTGCCGCGAACTTTCCAGGAGATGCTCGGTCGGCTTTTTGTGGAAAACTTTGATCTGCGGCGCAAACTGCGCGCAGGCTCACAAGGCTGGTCGTTGGGGTTGTTCCGGAAGCATGCGCAATGCGTCAGTCGAATCACTGAATCACTGGCCGTGCCCTTTGATGGGATGATGGGATCAGGCCAGGATGAGACATCCCAGCCCATCACTGAGCCGATGCAGACGTGCAAGACTCCAAGACGAAAGCGTTGAGTAAGATTCTAAAGTTCCAAGGCCATCTGTGCCTCAGGCAGGGATCCAGGGGCGAAAAAGGGGGCATGATCACTCATGCTTGACGATCATTGGAACCATGCTGCGGTGAGTTTCATTTGTTGTTTTTGCAGAAACAAGGAACACCGCAGAATGCCAGGCTGATGTAGACTTGAGTCGCTTTGCGGTGCCCGAAGGCTCTGAGCTGAAGTATTTTTGGAAAAGGAAGAATCCTTGTAAAGGAGCGAATGACAACAGTAATAATTAACACAAGTCATCTAAAATCCAACAGGTGACTTGCAGAAGTATGTATGTCGGTCCAGTTCTTGTTGAAAAACCAGACGCACTAGCTCGACGGTGAGGTGCAGACTCTGATGATGAGAGCCTGGTGCCACATCCTGCCATCTGCTTAGGAGTATATATATATATATATATTGTTGGCTGACAAGGGAGAAAGGATTGCAGAAGCGCAAAAGAAAAGCAAGTTTGACGAATGAGGGGTCAATTCCACCCTTCATCCCAGCCGCAGTGGCCTTAGGTCCTCTTTCACACTCATCCAAGGAATTCCTCGTAAAACACTAAGGCAGAGAGCACCACGCTTTTGAGGCAAGTGAAGTGATGGCAGCTTAAATCACATCATTCCTCCAATGATGTTTGCCTCACAGACGAAAACATGATGTGGACGCCGAAACAGATCGAAGGCTTCCTTCACCGGAACCCGAGCCATCCAGACTGGAGCCATCGAGGCAACGGTGCGTCGTCCGCAGTGGACCGTGGGCCATGCAGACCCAATGGCAACGGCCGATGAAGAAGAAGGGCGAGCATTGAGCACTTCTTCTTCCGGCTGGTTCAGCCTCACGCGTGGTAGATTCATGTTTTGTGACAGAACTTCTTCTCCAAGAAGCCTCCTATTGGCCTTGGACTTCAAGGTGGGTTTTCTTGACGAGAATCCACAGTAAGCTGGTCTGCAGGCGGTCCAGGCGGTCAGCAATGTTTGTTTTGCAGGCTTTGTCAGTTGCAGAGTGAGCCGAAGCGTTCGAAGACGAGCCCAGAGAGCCAAGCTTTGATTCGATCACATACACGACCAGTATATCCCCGGTGGACTTGGATCTCTCTGTCTTTGATCTTCGCTGTATATAGCTATAGTCATTGTCTAGTCTTGCTAATATCTTCCACCCGAATGGGTGAGCCCTCGTGGATGATAGCTTTGTCATGTATTGTCCATAAAAGATGACACTTCCATTTTTGACATCAGATTACATTACATCAGGCTACATATTGCACCATCGCACGGCAACTGAAACAGTCCGCAGCCTTGGTGGCTTGCGTGTCTGGATCTGCAATCATCAACAATGACCGGCCATCAACAGCAAGAAGCAGTTCAAGAATAACCACAATTAAAGGAATCAAGAACTGTGAGCGACAGCAAAGAATCATCAACAGTGAATATGAATCCATGCTGGTCACAGCTGCACACTTCGAAATGCCGATGTGTGATTTGCGCAAAGCTAGCCTTCTTCTTCAATCCTGTACATGAAGGGAAGCACTCATCAACCACGGCCAATTGAGGGTGTATTCTGCGTCAGAGTTTCAACACATCTCTTTAACGCAAATTGCCAGAATGGTAAGCTTTGCCGCGTCTGCAGATGGATTTGCCATGGCCGTCGGGTAAAAGTTGGTGTAAAGCTCAGTGACTATTGCGTGAAAATGAGTAAGGTCAAGCTGAATCTGGTTGATTCATTGGTACTGGATTCTACAACCTGATTTTTTGTCGATCATGGCAACATCCCTATGAACCAAACAGTAGAATGGCTCTTTTGGTAGGTTTTGGCTGCAAGCCGCAGAGTGCAACAGATAAGCACGTGGAACCGCTTGTCGTTCATCGGGTATTCCACGTCAGGCATGGGTTGGTGAGGATTATCAGGAAAACTTACGGGGACATGTCCGTTCACCTAGGTGTGTCAAACTTGGGCACCCCCAAAGAGGGAGGGTCAAACTGAAGCCTTTTTTTCCATGTTGAGAAACAAAGGAATGGTTTTATGAGCCCGTGGCAGGACCCGTGTCTGGGTCTGGAACAACGAAAAACGTGCGTCCCTGAGGGTGGCATGCAGCCGAACATGGCGTGTGGAGGAGGCTGACAGTGGTTTGTGTGGTGTTTTGTCATGGGGAACGAAAGCCTGTTGGGCAAGGCTTTCCAAGGCTTTGTGTCGAGATGTATGACGATGTTTGTGTCTGAATGCAGATTGTCTATGGCCAAAAGTCACCAACTTGGGAACTGATCCCATATGGCCATGTTTTCTTCTTTGTTTTTTTAACCGCATGGCCATGCCAGTGCCAAGCAGCTCCGCAGGTTGCATGCCCAATGGGCCTGGCATGGGAGCAATGGGCTTCGAACCCAAGTTGTTTGCGAACGATAGGTTCAACAGTCTCTTGTTCAGCAACTTGCTTGGTTGCTTGTGATTCTTGATGCTTGCTTGTTGTCGTTGTTGTTACTGCAATACTTCCCCTACGGTCCTAGCCAGTACCTGTAGTCATTCTGAGTAATTATCATTGCTCTTGACTGCATTCATGGAGAGGGCAGAGCAGACGTCCGACAGAACTCTGGAGGGTGCATTGCTTGATGCAAAGCTGACCAACTCCTCTGCAGAAGAGGCAGCAGACGTGGAGTCAAGTAGTGTATCCAGCTCCTCCCACGACGATCCAGAGTTGCGACCAGATGTAAATGCGCAAGATCATGCAGTTCTTGCATCCGGCTCACACGATGTGCAGGTGTTTCGTGGCCAGTGGGATGATGAAGGGGTGTATTTCTATCAGGCTTACAATGAAGAGATTGCCGAGTGGGCAATTCGACATCAGGAGTTTGGTGGTCCACGCTTCAATCCGACGCGCATGACTTGGATAACACCCTCTTTTGCTTGGGTTCTTTATCGTTCTGGATACGCGCGAAAGCACAACCAGGCGAGAATTCTCAAGGTTAAACTGTCCCATGCTTCAGTTGCAGAGCTCCTGAAAAACTGCCAGTGCCGGACAGGAGGTGGTGGCTCCAAGGGCCGTGTGCAGTGGGACCCGGATCGAGATCTCCTGTCGGGGGACGGCAAAGCCCCTCGAGAGATGCTTCGCCAGCGTGCAATCCAGATAGGCTTGAAGGGCTCGCTATCCGAATTTTATGTCAGGAGTGTAGTGGCCATCGAGGATGTCACTGAGCTTGCGCACCGTGTTCAAGCAGCACACACTGCGGCCGACTCAAAGCTGGCTATGTCACAGCTCTTGCCAGAGTTGCCAGTCGAGCGCCCCTACATGCCATCCTGCCCAGAGCCCGACCTCACTAGACTAAGGATGCTGCCTGGAGGTGGCCCTCTGCATGCCAAGCGTAAAAGCAAGAAGCATTAACTAGGGCTTGGCAGTATCGCTTGGGCAGCCTTGAGGCTTGGCTCGCCCTTGTACAGATGTACAGCACTTTGGGTCCTGCTGAGCAGCACGAAAATGGCTGAACGAATCATCCCTGGTGCTTGCTGTCATGATTCTTGTGTCAACTGCACTTGTGCTGATTGCAGCCCCAGGTATGGGCATGTGCCAGATGATGCCGGGTCAAATGCCCATGATGGGCATGAACATGTCTCCAGGTATGTCATCAGGTATGCAGCCTAGTATGTCATCAGGCATGTCGCCGAATATGTCTTCTGGGATGTGTCAGGGTATGTCAGGAGGCATGAATGGCATGGGCATGCCATCTGGCATGTCGCCAAATATGTCCTGTGGTATGTCGCCAAATATGTCCAACATGAATATGCCCATGATGGGTGGCATGGGTACCTGAGCTGCAAGAATCAATTGCAAGTTGCAAGATTCCACACAAATCTCCACCGTTTGGAAGCTTCAGAGTATCCCTGACCCAGGCATGGCAATGATGCCCAATCCAATGCGACCCGGTATGGAAATATGGATGGAGGTATGTCTCTTTGTACCTTCAGGATCCTTCAGGTCCCGATTCCAAAAAAATCTCCCAGTAGCGTCTTTGCTCAGAGTAGTAAGGCCAGGAGCCCCTAGTAGCGTCCTTGCTCCTAGCGTTCAGTTGCACATGCAAAAGCAGGCCTATTCCTTATGCCTCTGTCTTTGAGCTAGTCGTCCCAAAAAAGGGTCATCGATGCGCAACGCAGCAACCCAAGGATGATGATGATGGCAGGTGGTATGGCAGCTGCGAAGCAAAAGAGCAAGAGTGCATCACCAAAGCGACCTTTGGATGCACTTTGGCACAGATAGGATGCTATTTAGGATGCATTTGGGATGACGCAGGTCATCCACCCATTGTGGATGGGTCATATGAGCTTCCGACCAGTTTTTCACTCCATCGAGGAGAATTGTAAGTACATGCATGCGTACTCGCATACAGGCATGCCGACACGCATACAGGCACACATACATACATGCATGCATGCATGCAACCATGCAACCATGCATACATACAGACATACATTTTTCTTTATATCAAGTTGGATAGCAATGCCTTATCAGTGGACGGTGACAAATCACAGTTGCTGATCAGGGTTTCTGGATCCATCTTGGGATTCATTGGTCCCGATCACTTCCCAAATGGCACACGAACTGTTTGGATCCACCGAACGTTTTCTCTCATCGTGTCTCACTGCGTCAGGATCATCCTCGCCCGTGGAGAGCGATGAGAAGGCTCCGCCATCCCAGGGGGTCGTAGAAGCTGCAGTTTCGCTTTGACTAAGCAGGATCTCTGAGCACTTTCACCTAGTAAAGTTGGACATTGGAAAGCATCTAAGAGTTGTCCATGCTTAAGGCTTAAGGTTCGGGATTTTCGGTGTTCAAATCCTTGCAAACTCCTTTCAATCCATGAACAATCAGTACCACAATAGCATACACTACTATTCTCCCTCTCTCTCTATATACTGTATATACATACATACACACATACACTACAACTTATATGCTATTGCTATGTCGGCGGACCTTCTTCGGTCGCCTTCACCAGCGGCGCGCTTCACCTGAGGTCGCTTCACCGTGCGATTTCCTAGACCCGGAGGTTCGTGACTGGTCAGCAGGGATCCAGCGGACCTGTGGCGGAAGAACGGCGGTCTTTTTCGGCTTTTTGGTGAACTCTATGTGCACACAATATGGCACAACACACACACACACATAGATCTCAGCAAAATTATAGCGAATCATATTGAGTCATCAAGCTGCCAAGACTGATGGCAACGGACTCTGTCATGAATGACCATGGATGTAGAATGGCCATTCCTGAAAGAAAATACTCTGGAGGATTGCACTTGAATCTCTGATCAGGGCAACAAAAGCTCCAATTGGAGGCGACAGGACAATGTTTTTTTTCTATTCTTTTTCCATTTTATCCCTTTCCATTCAACCTCCTCCAACCTAGAAGGGATGGCCACTAATAGCGATGGCCTCCAACCTAGAAGCAATGGCCTCCAACCTCCCTTTAACATTCTTTTGCAATATTGTATCAAAAGCCACTCTCAAATTCTCAGGGAAACTGGGTGATCACTTCAACATTGAAGACCGATGGCTTGTGCGCCTGGATGAGCTCATGAGACCCTTGGAGGAGCGAAGGTCGGACCTTTTTGCCCTCGGTCGGTCGCCGATAGACGGTCGCGGGAGAGCTGGGGAGTGTCCTTGTGCATTAGACACTTGGAACAGGGAGCTTGTCACAAGAGATGCCACCTTTCTTTGAGGGGTCTGCATATGGTATGCATATGATTAGTCTAAAGATGCGACCAATGAGCCGAGTCTTTCTCTGGGTGTGGACGTGTTTCGACAAGTCAGACTTCCATCGGCTGAGGAAGACGGAAGGACACCAAAGATCAGGACACCAACTACGCGGCAGACCGCCTCCATACCAACTTCAGCTAAGCGTTGTTGGCGAGAGATTCTATCAGCTCATCAGCTATCATAAACAATATATTAAAGCCGTGTTAAAGCATGAGCATCCAATACGATCATTCAGTAAGCAATTGTTCTATCATTGACTATCCCTTATTGACCATTGATTAAGCATCGACAGCGGCAAGGATTTGGCCAAACTCTATGAAGTCCTGGAGCAAGCCCGAAGTCCGACAGGAGATCAAGCTGTGAGCTGCCTCTGTCAAGTCTTCTGACCTGTTCATTGATTGGTCATCCAAAAGTGTCCCTTCCCTCACCTGCCATCACGGATGTCTCCTTTTCCGATGCTCCGGAGCTCTGGATGGGCTGACTCGGCCGGAAGTTGGCCAGGACTTCTGGTGGCCAAGCTCGGTGAAATGGAGTGCGGTCAGTTTGTTGGCAAGGCCGCCTGTTTGGTGATTGTGAGGATAGATAGTTTGGTTAGAGATTTGGTGAGATATGGCCCAGTTTTGAACAGAATGTTTTTTGAAGAACCATGTATGTCATGTTGAGCCCTTTCAACCGTCCTTTGGTCCGTTCGGTTCTCAATCGGCGATATATATATATATATATATATATGTACACGCAGGTGAAGCCCGACCGCAACATCGAGCGTTTGGCGACCAGGTACAACCTCGTGCCTTGGTGCAGAAAGCTTGGAACGAAAGGAAAGACAAATGCCATCCCGAACTTCCTGGGTGAAATGATGAGAACCATGATCATGCATGAATTGACACATAGCATCATAGCATCTATTGAAGATGATTCATGATTCTATCCCGTGCACCTTGATTTGGCATCGATTGACGTTGATTTGGCATCTATTCCCTGGGCTTTTGGGGGAGATGTTTGATCTCTTTCCATCGTCTCTGGGCGACTAGAACAGCGGACCAGTTGCATAGATCTGGTACCCGGTGCCAATTGCGGATGAAGCGATCGATCATGACATGATGGGACTATGACATGGCATGATGCAATGAACACATATTGCCCCTTCTAAGGACACTCGAGTGGTGTCCCGGCTTACTGAGTTGAGGCGTGCAATACTGGATTGAAAGGTGAAACAGCCTCTGTTGAGTCCTGGTTGGTGGGTTGCCCCGCAGGGTGAGGCGGAAGAAGACGCAGACAGAGGACTTCAACCGACTGGAACAGCATCTCAGTCTTTGCAAGAGGCGGACGTGGGGGGGGCATCTGAGCACCAAAAAGCCAAAGTTTTTTTTTCAGAAGACTGAAGCTGTGCTGCCTACAGCATCTTGCGAGTTGTTTGACTAGAATTATTGCTTCTCTGTTTCGACAACGTGGAGCAAATGAAAAAGTAGCACAACGTTTCTAAAGTGTTAGTAACTGATTTCTTGCAAAATGCTGGCTGAATGAATTCTTGGAGAGGTAGCAACCACATCCTAAGTTGAACGTTGATCTACGTGATGCCACCATCTTCCATAAATTCAAACCAACACATCTTTTCAGATGCTTTCGGATGGAGATCAAGTGCCACACCAATCGGTCATGGCGCACGAAAGCCTTTCCACGGTGTGTGGCACTTGCCTCCACCCTGCGTCGCAGGCCCTCAGCCACTGCGACGCTTCTCATTGGCAAAGTCCTGGAAGGCCCATGGTGTAGATTGACGCCCCCGTATTGGGTACCAAAAGTAGAGAACGTTTTTTAACTTAACACAGACACACGCTTAAGTCTCAAAATGTTTTACATAAGCACTGTAAACTGATGGTGAATCATATCATGATGCATGCTGTGATCATTGCTCTGTCCGGCAGGGGAGCTGAAACAGATTCCAGCCAGACACTCGGAGCTGCCGCCCGCAGCGGGACCGATGTGAGGCCGTTTTTTTGGATTTGTCAGGATGTGACCACGGCCAAAGCGCTAGCACAGAGGTGGGCGACAGAGACCTTTCAGAAACGGAGGAAGACATGGGAGAAGAAGGACAGTACATGAGTTGCATGGCCCCCCGAAAAGGATCAAACAGGGTTTCTAAGCCCCCACCGCTTGGTTTCTAAGCCGGGAAGGCCGAACCCAACCGGTCGAACGGCTCACGGCGTTGTTTCGGTGGCCCTTATGGCCTTGGCGATGGTCGTGTGATTTTTAGCCATGAGGTGAAATCATAGTGGTCGACCACCATGCACTATCATCCATTTCAAACCTTTTCCATCCTCTTGTCAACTATCCTCCACCATTTTAACCAGTTTTTTTTGCTTTTTTCTTTTTTTCTGGTATGAACCACCAGGGAAGTTATTGCCTGCATGAGCTTCAACCCGTGCAGGTTCAAGTTGGACAAGGCCCAGAAAACATATGCAGCTGCTGTTGGTGGCTTTGAGACCGGCATGTTTTGGCTTGGAACTAGTGGTGATTGTCGGTGATTATTGATATTGCACGATCGTTGGCCACTCTAGATGCTTGGCAATCATCGTTTTTTTCTTTTTTTCGGGGAGGTAGGGTTGATCATCCATGCTTGAAGAAGATTCTTTGGGGGGGTTTGGAACTCACACCCTTGCAGCTTTTCTGCGGCAGGATGCCAAGTCCAAACTGCGGGAGATCGCCGAGAAGCGTGCGGAGGATGTGGAGGAAGTCATGGTGCACTTGGAGAAGACCCTCGCGTGCCTTGGGCCGGGCTGCAGTGAGAGGCATGTTTTTCAGAGATTGGTGATTTGGTCAGCTCTGTGATGCATGGAATTGATCAATTCAGGTTGGATGAGTTTCATGGCACATGTTTGGTGATCACATGGATTTATATATTCATTCCATGACATGGTTCCCAGATGATCTCGTTGATTTGGCAGGTTCCAGCCACCGCGCTGCAGTGTCCTGGTTGACCCCGGTTGGCTCATTGTGACTTAATGGGGGCTTTTGAACCCACCAGGTGTCATGCATGGGAGTAGCCCCCCCCCAGAGACTGACATGCACCCTGAAAATTGACCTGTGGAAGACCATTTTTCGAATACCAACCCAGTGGTTTTGGGGTTCCATGTTAATCTGCATGGGAGTACTTATTCACCATTCACCATCAGTGATCAACTGTTCAGTCGCCATGAAGAACTATATACACATTGATGAGCTGTTGATTCACCATCACGGCCTAATCCATGAGAATGGCTGACACCATGGATCGCGCCGATGATTCTGACGGATCAAAAATCCTAAGTTCCCTTGATTCGCCAAGCAGCATTTGTGGGGGCTCAAAGAGCTATCCGGTCTGAGGATGTCGCACCAGCCCTCCGCCACTCTGTGCAAGCTGGCCAAGACCCTCATGGATGGTGGCAAAAAGAGGAGTCTGATGCCTAATGGGAGGTCGTGATGTGTCAACGATTTCGACATTTTTGTGAAGCAACACTCAGGGAATAGGAAAGAAATTTGACCTCCACCCACCCACCCACCCACTGGGAAGGCCGCCGACACGGTAGGTCAAACGCAGGGAAGTCTGGGGTTTGGTGAAAACTCTTGCAATGTCTTGACGGGTCAATAAGGGTCATCCATTTACAGTACCCATTCCGATGTTCACCAGGGTACCTTTCATTTTGACATGTTACACACACACACACATATATATATGTTGAAACCACGGACCGATTCGATCCGTCCGAGAGCTCCTGCTCTCCCCCTACCGGCGGCCTTTTCCGCGCCCGATCCTCGAGCAAAGGTTGCCTCCGGTCCGACCTATAATGCACACCCGTCGTGACACTGCTTTCACACTCCACCAACTGTAAAAACAAAAGCTTTCCGTCGAGCATTCGATACAGCAGGAGTACAGGTCACTTGTGAAAATTCTGTTCACTTCCTCTCTCGCTTGTCGCTGCTTCCCGGGAAACTCTCCGTAGGATCAGTGGTCTGATTCACACTTCCGGCGTAATCGATGGCACTGAGATAAGCAGCAAAGTCGCCGAAACGACCATCTCGATCTTTTCCATGGGCCTGAACCCAAATCAAATAGGACTGGTATTCAGTCTTGCTTGTGAGTTCTTGGTATGAGAGGCCCAACTTACTTACCTTCGGAAGGCGGCACACTGTGGATCCCCAGTCTTTCAGACTGGTCACGCCAGCGGGAAAACAAATCTTGGACTTGTCCATCTTCTCTGGAATCACTGGCTTCTGGTCATGGCTCATGTGTCCACCAAGACGTTCCTTCTCGAGTGGCTGATGCTCTTCTGAGTAATGAACCGGCTCCCATGCTTCATCCAACTCACTGTCTCGCTGGTCACGAAGACGCTTGGCACTGTCATTCATTGCGACATAGCCCTGTGTCACATCGCTGCGACTCTTTACACCCGATTGGTGGGCTCGGCTCATGATCGCCTTGGCATGTGCCAACTCCTCCGGAGTCACAGGAGTGGATGGGGAAGACATCGATCAAGCCACTGAACAATCAGAGACACGATTGCCTCTGAGATGCGAGAACAAGATCTTGAACAGATCAAAAAGGGCTTGCATTACCTATATCGGTTTCGGAGCGCTCACTCTGACACGCACAAAACAAAACGACAAATTAGAAAACTCAACTGTACACAAAAAGGGCACGGCGCGTGATCTGGCACTAGTTCTACTCTTTCATTGATTCCCTCCACGGCATCCTACCGACAAACACAATGACTGCAAGTGAACAACAAGTGCAAACACGTGTTCATTTCTCTTCTTCTGACGTAGAAGACTTCTGACTCTGGGCTTTGGCTCTCTTACCGGCTAGGTTCTTGCGTCTCTCACGTTCTTCTCTTTTCCGGTCCAAGACTGTCTGCTCGTCTGCCAGTTGGTATCTGGCTGCACGGAGAACTGAACGAAGGAGGTCCATCGGTTCAGCCTTGTCCTTAGTCAGTCCATCGGCTAGCATGTGTCCTGTGGGAACCCATCTAGCTTCCATTTTGGTTCGACGAATGGACTGCCTGATGATAGCTATGTCAATAGCTGTTCGTCTGTCATCTAGAACCCCTCCCGAACCTAACGAGGTCAAATGATCATATAGTGAGCGACAATCTGTCATGCCTATAGGGGGCCGCTTGAGGAGAACTTGGTCTGCTTCTTCCAACAGGAAAGGACCATCAAGACATTCGGAGGTCATGAGGGCAACCCATTCACACATTCCTGAGGCTGTCGAGAAGGCCTGTGCTTCACCTCCCATCGTTGATGACACTACGCGTGGTAGTCGATAAGACTTCCATGCGAAGCAGTGCACTGGAACATCTAAGCCTTGCTTCATTTTATTTGAGGTAAAACCAACAAGCCATCCCCCTTGAGTCTTAAGCTCAGTGGTGTTCGCGAAGGCGGCATCAGACCAAAAACAGAGAGTCAACTCTTCTGGTGCGATGAAAGGCACTCTGATTTGCAAATCTGCCTGTTGCCTTGCCCGACGCACGGCTTGGTTGGCTTGGAGAAGGTCAAAAACCGTTGGCTGAGGAAAACATTGCTGACTCTGAGATGTCTGTACAGCCATATCTGGTCTAGTTTGAGTACTCAACCAACTCAAGGCACCATTCACTGCTCTAAGCGCACTGATCTCCTGTGGATTCGCTGGTAGCCATGGACGCTGAGCTCTTTCCTTGTTGATCTTGATGGGCTGGATGTGTTCAGCATATTCTTTCTGGCCGAAACAGATTTCACCAGTCTCAAGGTCTTGCTCATAAACCGTCCCAAGGAATTCACCCTTCCCTGATCGCCACTTGCGGAAAGGAAATCTTGCTCGAAGCTTGGCTATGGCAGCTTCATACACCTCACCTTGACCTCCCGTGATTGTGTCATCAACATGAGCACCAAGGATTCCTTGCAGTTTACCATCCGGACCATGACAAATGTACAGACAGTTGTCAAACTTACTTCGAACAAACCCTGATGCAACAGCCACTCGATCAAACTCGCAGTACCATTCATGGGGAGCATCGTTAGCACCGTAAATGTTTCCAAGTACTTGAACAAGGGAACCTTCTTCAATGCCGGGGACTCCACCTGGTGGCAACTCGGCGTACACTGGATTAGCTAAGGCTTTGTCTCTTACGTTTGCTTCTAAAAAGGCGCCTTTACTATCTCCTAAGTGCATCACCCATCCATGACTTACGATCATCTGCAAGATCAGGCTTCGGCCGAACTGCGAGAGCGTCGGAGAATGACACTTCCCAGCGAGCACCTTTTGGAACAAGTCAGGATCATGATGTCCCCTCAAGCACCAACGTGCCTTGATCTTGGATTGTCCGTCCTCATGCTTCTCGATGATGACGAATCTGCTAGTCATGATTCGATCTGGTTTATACTGTCTGATCTTCTGGGCTTCAGTTGGGGACAGCACTTTAAGGGCATGCTTCTCATCTCGGAGTGTGGTCCATTCTGCGGTCTTGGCCAAATCTATCTGTTCTTGGACCATTGGAGGATTCTTCGAATGATGTAGTTCCTTCTGCATCTTTTTCTGAAGAAAGCTGGCAACCAAGACTTCTACACATGGAGCTGGGCCATTCTCCTGTATGAGTTCCGTCACAAGGCACTCATCCGAGTCTGTCTTCGAGCACTTGCTAGGAGCACTGGAGGGTCCGTCAGGAGACAGGCTGCGTTTTGTTCCATGTGCCTCTTCGAGAACCTCTTGAAGATCTTCCATCCTGGTTTCCGGAGGTCTCAACAAGAACACTGGGGGTCCTTTGGTCTGTCTCAACCGAACAGGTCCGTAACCCTCATTGCTGTTTTCAGCACTGGTTCGCTCAGCTTCGGTTCCCAAGGGAGTCCACCTCGTTTGGGCATCTGTACCCATGTTTGCGAGTGTTCGAGACATTGAACTGGTTGTTCCTGTGGAAGGTTGCGCCAGTTCTCGCAGCTCTACCTGACTTCCTTTCCCCTGCAAAAGAGGGGGGGTCCGAACGTCGACGTTTGGACGGGGTCTTTTTGGATTACTACCTTCTAGGTTGTCAGACAAACTATCACCTGTTTCGGATTCTCCTATGCTCGGACTAGCTGGCTTCGGCATTGCACTCGACACGGGCTTTGTGGCCGACGGCACTGTCACGCTGGCTGGGTTCTCTCTGTGTGGACGAATCTGGAACTGTGATTCTCCCTTCCAAGTGGTTTCCCCCCAAACCCCGGTCTGCGTGTCCGGATCTGACCAAATCTTATGAACCACGACTTCACCTGTGTCCGAACGAATGGTCTTTCGCCAATTTTCCAAAGACACGCCCTTCAACAATGGGTCATTTGGATCAGGAAGGAACCACTTTTGACGTGGAGTACGATGAACTCTGCACAACAACTCACCTCTCTTGATCCACACATCTGGCTGAGCTACAGGTTCACTAGCAATCTGCATCGGAGTGGGAGTACCTGTCAAATCAATAAATTGTGATCCGATCTGTTCCTTGTCCTGGAGAATTGTGTTCAAACCCAACAACTCTCGACCGTCGGTCTGGGCAAGAAGTCTCTCTTCGGCAGTCACATGTCTCAAATGCTCTGGAGCCACTTTAAAGACGTTCTTCCTGTGATACACCAAGAAGTTTCGACCTACCTTACCCATGACAGTTGCAACCCCGAACCATCTACCTCCTACTAGTCTCATGCCACGCTCATACTTCTGGGTCCGCCAATATGCAACGAAGTCCCCTGGCAGAAAGTCTCTCTCTATCCTTGGTCTTGCATTCAAGGCTGTCCTAAGTGTCTTGTCGTCTTGAGACATGATCAGGGCCGTGCGAGCCTGAGTGCGAATTGCCTGCGCTTTTGCCACTGCATCGTCGGACAGGGCGGCTGTCCCGGACACAGGGCAGGGCCATTCCTGAAGCAGGTCACCTGGCACTCTAGGGTTTCTACCGAAAACAAGTTGGCATGGCGACAGTCCATGTTGATTCAACAACTCGTTCTTTGCATTCATGGTCTGTACAATGCACTGTTCATATTCTTCTTTGTTCTTCGGTTGAACCTGATCCAACACCTTTTGAAGGATGACCTCAAACAAATGACCATGCTTCTCTACCTTCCCCAATTGGGAATGTGCTTCGGCTGCAGTCGACAGGACTCTGGTGCCATCTTGCTCTAGCATCTTGAAAATCTGTTCGGACTGATTAGTCCTAGCAGGGTCTGTGATGACTTCAACCGGAGGACCTGCCCATCGTTGCCAAGCATCAAGGTAGATACGCTTCAACACTTCACTGGTTTCCTTCTCATAAAAGGGGACTACTACCTGGAAGCTGCTGGCATGATCTACGATGTTCATGGTTTTGATCTTCTGGTTGACTTGCCAACCTGGCAAATTCTTGACATCCCAGCCAATCCGTTGATTGAATTCAGTGGCTTTCTCTGGATTGGACGGCAAGGAAGGCGTGGGTCGCTGTCTCTGCCGGCAAATGTCGCACTGACTCTCTACCTGTTCGGCTGCCTTCAAAGCTTGTTCCGAGCCACCTGCATTCTTCAGGCTTCTAATGAGGGTCCTAGTAGAGGGATGGCCTAGATTATTGTGAAGTCTCTTCAACAAGCTCTTTACCTTTTCAGGATCATGGGCAGCCTCTGCTACACAGACCTCATGGCACTCAGTCGCTGTTGGAAAGGATTCCTGCACATCGGCGAACGAACACAAACAATCTTGTGGTCTGATGCACGTGTACCAAGTTTGAACAAAGGCTTGTGTGTACGTGGCAGCTGATGCACTCCTAGAAACCCCTTCATTAGTCCTACCTGCGATCGACTGATGTCTTGCATGGCCGGGACATGTACGGACAAGTTCACTCATGTCAACATGTGATACGGCCAGTCCTGTCGGTTTGAGGACTGGAATCTGGCTGTCTGGGTCTGAAAGACCGTAGGCACACATGTCGGCTCGATGCACGGACAACTTGCCTGCTTGAATGAGCTTCTTCATTGGGCCGAACTTCCACAGATCACTTGACCATGGATGTTCAACCAACACGCGTCCACCTCGTCTCAACTGGCGTTTGATCTGCTCAACACAAAAGGTGGCCTGTCGAGTGGCAATGCGTTGATTGTGCAACTGTTCTGCCACTGAAAGCTTGTGTTTGTTGAGCCTGTACCAACCACCCCAATGCTTGCACTCGGGGCAGCACACCAGCAACTCGGGAGCCTGCTCTTCCAAGATCGTGTCAACCTGCGCCTGTGTCTTAGGGTCAGTCAGGTCCCAGCCTTGCTTGATGTCAAACGCCAAGCCCTTGTCTCCTCTCTCCCTTGCCCAGGCACTGAACCTTGGCGGAGAGAATAGCTCAGCGACAGCACATTTGGTCTTCTTCTCCTTGTTCCAGGTTTCACTGTGTGCCAACAAGCACCGCTGTTCTCGGCGAGTGAGGACTCTGGTAGGTCCTTGCATGAACTGTTCTGCATCCTCCTCCGATGTGTCTTCTTCTGTCGTTGGATTCTGTCCTCCTTCCACGACAAGAACCTCCTCGTCCACTCCCTCGGAGTCCAGCACGTTCAAAATGAACTGGCCAGCTGTGTTCATCTGAAGTGGTCGAGGTGGTCCGCCCTGGAGTTCAACTGTCTCAGCCGCAAAGTCCAGCTTGGCATCTAAGCTCTTCAAGGTGTTTCGGGACAGAAGAAGGGGTGCTGTCCCTCTGATCACCGCAGCTTCGATTCGGCCCGGTCGGCCGTGGATCACAATCGGCATGGAAACTACCTTCTCAGACAGCTCCTCTTGACCATTCCCAAAACGAAACAAATTCTGTTGGGGTCGACTGTCCGGCAAGGTCATCTTGCGGTCCTGATACAGACGCATGAACTCACCCAATGTCTGTTGGCCAATCAATGTACGACTGCAACCCGAATCAATGATGCCATACCCTGGTGAGGACACCAAATAACACTCGTCTGCGTCTGTCACCATGGCTGCCCCACTAGGTTTCTCTGCCTTGTTGCTTGAACTGGAAGCCTGTGGGCAATTTCTTGCCCAATGTCCAATCTGACCGCACCGTCTACAGCGTGACTTCTTCTGAATGTCTGTCAGCTCCCGTGTGAATTGCTTCTTCACGGTATTGGCCTGTTTGAACTTTCTGGCTTTCTGCAGCTTTGAAATCTCGGTTCTCCTCTCCTTCCAGGTTGCTGCCAACACTTCTGCAATCTCCTCTTCATCATACACCTCAGCTGAACTGTTTGCGGATGCAGCATCATGAAACCCATGCTCTGTCAGAAATGCTTCCAACTCTTCAAAAACAACGCTATCAGGCCCTTCCGCTTCTTGAGCTGGCCCCGACTCCGGTTCATCCTCTGACCAGTCGTGTTGGACCACATAGGCTGGAGCGCTCCTGGCCTGTTTCTTGGTTGCTCTGAACTCTGGGAAGCAACTTCTCATCGCAGCTGTAATGCTGTCCATTTTCAAGTCACCCTGAGTCTTTGCTGTCACGATTGCTCGTTGGTCAGCTGACAACCCTGAGGAGTTGAGACATACCCAACCCTGTGCTTCAGGGGGGAAATCCACCGACACTTTCCTCCGACATTTAGCGAAGGCTTCCTGGACTCTCGAGCACCATGCCACCACGGTCTCACCCTCCTGGGCATGCAGCTCAAAGACTTCCTTGAGACATTCGGCCATGTGGTCGTGGGCCAACTTGTCTGGAAATCTGTCATCAAGGCACTTCCAAATGTGTTTGTCTCCATTCTCTTCCCGGAGTAGATCCAACGTCAAATGCTCAACAGTTTCCAGAGCCAATCCGTCAAGAAGACAAAACACGTAAGGACCTCGATGTGTCGGAGTCATGTCTTTGGTGGAGGCCATCTTGGCCAAAGCCCAAAGGCGCCACCGCCTGTACTCTTTGGGGTCCAGACTCTCCCCACTGAATCGACGTTGTCCCATCGACGACCCATCCGAGCTGGCGGCCATGGCACCTACACCCCAAAACTATACACTAGACACTGCTTTCAGTGTTCAGCCCTTCCTAAGGCCTAACTACCCCGGATGCCCTCCTCCGATTGGAGGAGGGCTCCGCTACCAATGTTGAAACCACGGACCGATTCGATCCGTCCGAGAGCTCCTGCTCTCCCCCTACCGGCGGCCTTTTCCGCGCCCGATCCTCGAGCAAAGGTTGCCTCCGGTCCGACCTATAATGCACACCCGTCGTGACACTGCTTTCACATATATATACTCATAGCCACGTTTCTAGTAGAATCCACATAAGCAGTTAAATAATTTGCTAGGGATTTCGATAGCTTGGCACCTGCATTGATCACTATTGCCTGACTCGTGCAATAGTGTTGCCCTTCAGCTGTATGTGGAATGGGGAAGAATGAAGAGTGGGATGTAGCAAAAAGTCCCAAAACATCTGAGCCTAGACTGGAATGCCTTCCAAATGGGTGCTCGCACCAGCACTTCGCTGCCTCAGCGCCAATGCCTTTTCAAGTCTGCTCGCTGTGCCCGGCTGTGCGGGCTGGGTTTTATTTCTGCCCTGCAGGTTTTTTTTTTTTCCGCCCTGTGCAGTCCTGGTAGTTCCCGCCCTGGAGGCTTGTGCCCTGCATTCTGCCCTGCAGGTTTTTTTTTCCGCCCTGTGCAGTCCTGGTAGTTTCCGCCCTGGAAGCTTGTGCCCTGCAGAGGTTTCTGTTCCTGCCCTGCTGGGTTTGTTTTCTGCCCTGCAGGGGATTCTTTCCTGCCCTGCAGGGTTTTTCTCCTGCCCTACAGGGGTTTCTTTCCTGCCCTGCAGGGTTTCTTTCCTGCCCTGCGGAGGTTTCTTTTCTGCCCTGCCCGGGTTCCTTTTCCACCCTGCGCAGGCACCCTGTGCAGGGTTCTCCCTGTGCAGGGTTCTTCTTCCACCCTGTGCAGGGTTCTTTTCCACCCGGTGCAGGATTCCTTTTTCACCCTGTGCCGGATTCCTTTTCCACCCTGTGCCCTGTGCAGGGTTCTTTTTCCACCCTGTGCAGGGTTCCTTTTCCACCCTGCGCAGGCACCCTGTGCAGGGTTTCTTTCCTGCCCTGTTGGGGTTTCTTTTCTGCCCTGCAGAGGTTTCTTTCCTGCCCTGCTAGGGTTTCTTTTCTGCTTGCGGGGTTTTCTGCCCAAGGGTTTCGTTCTGGCACTGCAGGGGTTTCTTTCCTGTCCTGCAGGGGTTTCTTTTCTGCCCTGGGGTTTCTTTCCTGCCCTGCAGGGGTATCCTTTCCATCCTGAGGAAGGTCCTCGTCGAACTGCAGGAGTCACTTCTTGACCCTACGAGGGTTTCCTTTCTGCCCTGTGTGTTTCCTTTCCAGCCTCAAGGGGTTTTCATTTCTGCTTTGCAAGTCTTTTTTGCCCTGCAGGGGTTTCTTTTCCTGCCCTGCCGGGTTTCTTTCCTGCCCATCGCCCAGGTGCAGATGAGAAATATGCCAACAAGTCAGACAGTGATGCTGAAAGTCCTGTTGAAGAGAGGCACCGTCCTTTTCGCCGCTGCCTTGTTTGAAAGGGGTCCGCTGAGTCAACACTGTGCGGCAGTGCCGGAGTAGTCTTGGTTCCCAGCAGTGCCGGGAACCGGGAAGCATCTTCCTCCAGTCGGTATTCTTGCGAGGCAAATATCATTGAAGACATCCTATTTTCAGACGAACTACGTGAATGTCCCATGGCCCATGGCCCATTTCAGTATTTTTCTTGAGACCGGATGGGGAACTTAAAGAGCCGTACCCATCGAATTTGAGGTACATAGAACTAGAGCGATACTATCAGTTGAATTCGATCTCTTCTGGTGTCCTGTCGTTGTGCGACAGGCCCAAGAGTCGAAGTGCTGCTCGGAGTGTAGGGAACTCAGACTGCTTCTCGGGGGACGTCGGCGAGGAAAACCAGTCCAAGTCGTGGCCAAGTGGCCTTTAGCCCAAGCAGTCAATGCAAAGGACACATGCACATTACATGAATTCTCGTGGGATGCGAGAAAAGCTGAGACGAACTGCTGTGATCGGATGGCAAGCTTGCTTCCCTGAGATGTCGCTCCTGCGCCAGGAGTGCAGCACCGACAGCAGCAGTATTCGAAGAAGAAGAGCTGCCTTAGATAGAAGAAGCAGAAGCAGGCCCTCAAGAAATTCGATGAGACTAAATCCACGTGAGCATGTGTCAATTGTGGCCCTCCGAGCATAGTTTTCCAAGAATAAGATTTTGTTAGAAACTAGATTTTGTTAGGGTCTTTAAACTTGATGCCCGCCCACTCCTCCTACTGTTTCTTTCTTTTTCTTTTTTCTTTTCTTTTCTTTGTGCATATTTGTGTCGAGTTGCTTTAACCATCGGGAGCTCAGATACCTGTGAGGAGCAGAAAAGGAAAGGGCAAGCAGAAAGGCCAGAAGAAGAAGGACAGGAATTAGGAGTTTCCGAGTTTCCCGTCCTTCTTAACATGAAACATATGAACGCTAAACTCATTGAATTGATACACATCTTTCATGCGTTATGGATGCTGGAAGTAACTTTCGACTGCCATTAGCTTCGACTGTCTGAATGCGAGCCATGAGTTCAGTTGGTCAGTCGAGAAACGGTCACGACGCTTAAGCGGCCCATGACGGCCGTTCCCGGTGAAAAGCAGGCCCCTCGCAACTCGTAGCCTCAAGTATTTCGACCCTGACTCACCCGTGGGAGTTGATAACTTCCCTGTTTGATCACTGAAGAGAAACAATAGCAATAGTGGATCCTGATAGCTTACCGTAGCACTGGATAGTTGATTGAATCAGCCAGTTCGATGATCGAAATGGTGGGATCCGAGTTCCCAGAACCTGAAGGTCCAGTGGCTGAGCTAAAAGAAAAAGTATATATATATATAATCTAAATATACTCCCCTTCAGGAGGACGTAAAAAGGGGAGCTCACAATTGCTGGAGTAGGATCAAGAAGTCATAATCAGGTGTTATCATGGATGTTTGGTTGATAGGTGGTAACAAGAAACCATCAAGAGATGTGTTTGGTTGACCATTAGACCATCAGTTCATTGTCACTCCGAACCATTTTGTTTTGGTTGATTGATTATAACCGTTTCCTTTGATTTGCTTTGCTTTGCTTTGACAATTGAATTGAACCGACTTGTATTGACTTTACTTGATGGATAGATGGATTGATTGATCGATCAGGTTGGATTGGATGTAATGCGAAATGCGCTGAGCCTTCCATTGCACTGATGGATCATCCTTCTATTTGTAACAAAATTAGACTGGCATGTCTGAATCTCTGACATCCAGTGTCGAGACCTCGCGAGACCTCGAGATTGCGCTATATATATATAAGCAATAATATATGTGCTTATGTTACTCGATGAATGACTCATCCCACCGTTCGCCGCCCTTCTTCGCCCGCTGAAACACGGCGCCAGGACGCCGCGCGGGGCGCCCCCGCGGCGCCGAAGGCTCTGCCGGTGGCTGCGCCGGGGTCGGTGCAAGTGGGCGGTGGCTCTGGAGGTTGGACGGTGCCTCGGTGTGAACTCCCGGTGTTTCCGAGAGCCACAGGGAACCTGAGTTCACCACTGCCCGGTGTGTAGAGGAAAATATCGTCTTTCGAAGGTCCATGCCAGGGTCCATGTGGGTCTCTTCCCGACCCAAGCTGGCAGAATTTGAGCCGCGGCCATGGACAGCTTCAAATCGATGACCAGAATCGGATAAACTGTAGACTTTCGAGCCAATTATGTTGATACCAGCAAGGGTGGGAGTATCTAGACCTATCTCCCAGCTGGTTTCAGGGCTGCATGGTCAATAGATTCAATAAAGCCTTAGTTTTCTACTTTTCTGCAGTGCTTTTTTCCGACCGAATGCTCTGACCTTCGACGACCAAGGTTACCGAGTGGTAGATGAGGACGTTTCACTTTTGAGGAAGGCGAATGGCGTGGCGCATGGCGCACGGAAGGAGTGCGGACATTTTCCACTATGGTTCTTGTGACTTTTGAGTTAGATCCTGAACTTGTTTTGGCCCAAAGTGATTGCAACCGCCTTTCTGCATGGTCGGTTCGGCCGCAATCCTTGTAACCACAGCTAGTGTTTTCCATCATCACGTCTCGCACGTGGACAGAAAAAGAGTCGGAACAGGAGATTCTCTGTCAATTTTGATTGTCGATGATGATTTGTGAGTATTGTTGGCTGAACAAATCGTTAAAAACAGACATCAGGCCTAAGCGCAAGTTTGAACCTTCGATTCGATAGGATTTGGCGCAGGCAGTCTGTAATAGGCAGCCTGTTTCTCGATCGGGGTGCTTATGCAAGTTGCTTGGTTCTCCCGATTTACTCCACAGGCTGGCATCCAATATGCCAGGCAAACGGGAGTTGAACCCTGCATGGGGCCGTTGAAAGGTTCGTTTTTTTTTCAGACGTCTGCAGATGATGGGTGGGTGCTTTCCAGTGAGACTGAGACCATTTCTGGAAACGCTGCCTTTCCTGTGAGACTTACTCTGGTGTTTTTGTATTCTTGCTTGGAACAGCACCAACGACTGAAACTGACTGTAAGCATCCTGCTTCAGCTGCCATGCCCGGCACGCGTCGTCCAGATCATGTTTCGCCAACGTTGGCTTGAAGAGATCATGAACCAACGTGCCAACCTGCCGAGATTGGTTTTCCATGATCGGAGTGTTGGCTTGCCTTCTACTTCGTCTTGAAGCGGATTTGTGGCTTCAGCATGCCACAACCACTTGGGCTTTGTAGCCTCCAACCTAATAGCATGCTGCTTTCTGGCCAAACATACCTATTTCATTTGGGCTTCGTCTCCGTCACGCGAAGGGAAACGCAATTTTGAAGTCTTGAGGAGACAGGAACCCACCGACGACCTGACAACCAGGGAAACGAAGGGAAGCGAAGGCAGAGAATCCGGAAACCAACCGGAAACATGACCAGACGCGCAAGCATAAGAAAGACATGAAGTGCAACTAGTAGCAAGGACGCTATTAGGTGGAGGCCATCGCAAGTAGGTTGGAGGCCATCGCTCTAGTGCCTCAAGGACCTACTGAACTAACACACATATTGGAACATACACAGCAAAAACCATGTAAGGACCGCGCAGAATCTGTTGTTTTTCATTTTAACAGAACGTTTACATAAGTCTACGGTATTTGTGTGTGATCTATATCATAAGATAGATATTAGATATCCAAATAGCTTGAGTTTCCACACCATCACGGGATTTTCCCTGTCCACATCGCATGAGTTGAGACACCCTCGAGCTCTAACACTCCTGGCACATTGAAGCCAAGTGGCATCCACCAGAGGATTGATGGCCGTGTTTGTCCTTCGATGTTTTCAACTTCTATCCATCCAACCATGCTTCCAAATGTAGAAGAAATGAAACAAGGAGACGCATGAGTTTCAGCCTAATGAGCTTCTGACTGTAACATGTTGTCCTTGGAGCCTAGGGAACGCAAGTGGGCAAGCTTTTCGACACTGTGATAAGATGTTACATGTTGGCTCGGATGCACAGAGGGCACAAGGCACAGAGACAGAGGCAATGTGCAAGCTGGCAACCTATGCACTGAGTCCTTAGTTGCTCTTCATCTCCAGCTAAGTAATGGATTTCTACGAAACCATTCCTTTTTCAAGAGAATGGAGCATTATCACAAAAGTTCACTCTGCCACGGCACTCCTCGCTGCCACACAGGTTTTCAACCGTCAACCCCTTCAACCCATTCAACCCACCTGTGAAAGAGCTCATTCAGCAAGAGTGGTTTTGGGCCCTCGAAAGGCAACCAGTGCCAGTGGTCACCAACTGACCAGGTGGACCGTGACGAGCTTCGGCCGCACCCCCACGTGACTCACTGGAGTCGTGTTTTCCGCTGAGTCTCGGTGTGTCTGCCAACGCCGGTCCTCCGCGCAGCAGCTCTGCGCGTGTGGCGTTGGGGCGCGAGCAGCGTGCCATGCGTGGTCCAGACGGGGCTGAGCCATGAGAGGGACCTTCCTGGCGCTCGGATGGGCTGCGGCATCTGCCAAGGACTGGGCCCACGGTCGTGTGAGAGAGGGCGAGGTCGTCATCGAAGTGAATGAAAGCGTTTGAACGGAGGGAAGAATTCTTTCTTGGCGACTGGCGACTTGAGGAGTATTCAAAGACCTATAGCTTCATGGCAGACCGATTAGAGTGCGAGGGCCAGCCAGAGTCTTAGACCCAACATGTCCTACAATCTTTGCCTGAGCCATCCTGCTAAATCGAGACGCAGAGGCATAGTTCGCCTTTGAGGGTTCACGAGGGTCGACATTCCAGTCGAACATAGTGGGGACGCCACAAAGGGTCGAAGCTGTACAGGTTTGTTTGGTTTCTTTGGATCAACGCGGCTTGTGTAGAGGACGCCACTAGGAGCAAAGGGCACCGCTACTAGGAGCAAGGACGCCACTAGGGGCTCCTGGCCTTACTACTAGGAACAAGAAGCTATTAGGAACAAGAAGCTACTAGGGGCTCCTGGCATCGCTACTAGGAGCAAGGACGCTACTAGGGGCTCTTTGGATCAATGCGGCTTGTGTAGACATATTGGTCAGGTTCTTGCAGCTGAAGTTTTTAGACGCTGATGTTCCTTTGGTCAGAAGCATAGGATCTGAATTCACTGTGATGTTTTGCACATTAAGGTGCACTTATTGCCGCCATGCGCATAATCAGCACAAATGGGCCGAGATTCGATCCAAAATCGGCCACTACGTCTACAGTGATCCAGATGATGACGCATGCCTCCACTTAGATGACGTTGAAATCTGAAACTTCTCCAACTTCTTGCAGGTTTTGCTTTGGGACTTTTGTTTGCTCAGAATTCCAGTAAAAACTTGGAGAGTCTTCCACATCGACAAGAATGGTCTTCCGTTTGCCCTGAGGATTCCGTGCTGGCCAGAACGGAGCACCACCAGGTCACAAAAGCCTTCACTCGACACAGAGAGAGAGAGAGAGAGACAGAGACAGAGCGCAGAAACTCACGGTTCCACCGCTCGTTCCTCACAGCAACTTCGCCTGAGAGGTGCAGAATCTCATCAACTGGTCCTGGACCAAGGGTGTGAATTTCGAATGCATTTTGGGCATTATTGCCTTAAGGCGGGGTTTTTGGCCCGGTTCAGATATTCCTGCCTTCCAAATCTGTTCCAGTTTGTTTGCTCAAAAGGCTGTTGTCCTTTGGCTACTCAGATCCCCTCCAGCAGGATGCTGAGCCATTGATTCATGACGCGAAACGAATGGACCGCCGTTTGACGGTCGTTGGACCGTTGACGATTCGTTTTGAGATTCAACGTCTACGATGATCCGAATTTTGGAGTTCTGGACTTCCTGGATACCTTCAATGCTCATTCAGGCGGTGGATGAGTAAGAGATGACCGAGTCCGATGTTAGGTGTTTCGGTCCTTTGCAGTCGTATCTTCTCTGAGTTTCACTTAATTTTTCCCGCAGATAGCGAGAGCTATTGGGGTTCTTACTTCAAGTATAGGAAGAGGTGCCTGTGTGCGCTTTTGAGCTTGGGTGCTGGCGTTGATGGAGGGCGCTGCAGAGTGCCGCTGCTGTGTGCTGCCCACAAAAGTCTTGTTGTTACAGTATCTGCTGTCTATGCTGCCGTAATTCTGATGCCTTCTGGCCTTCTGGCTCTTCAGCTCCAACATGCAAACAATACCAGAGAAGACGAGTGTGTTGGTTACTTTGTGGCACCTTTGTAAATTGTACCACTCACGCCGCACTAGGCGCCCTGGATTTGCTGACCTCATCCTGGGCGGCATTGCTGGCCGGGGGATGGCCACTTGTTGACCACGGACATCGCATGCGGGTGCTTTTATTTTTTCTTTTTTTAAATGGCGGTTGTGGTGCGAAAAAAACCACCAAGGCCAGTCTTCAAGCAACTGCACCTGGCCTCCAACTCAGAGTGGAAGAAAACAGACCAAGGAGGTGCAAGGAGGACGGTCCACGCTTTTCAGGGGCCCATGGGGTCCCTTTTAGGCCAATGAGTGGGATTTAGGCCCAATGACTTGCTTTGACTTGGCACCTTCAAGCATTGAGGTAAGCAAAAAGTTGATAGATGTTATGGATGACAGGCTGGGACCAGTCCGTGGTAGAACGAAGTAGAACATCTCGCGTGGCCAGGCCAATGAAGTATCCAAACCTCCAAACACGTCCCAATGAATGTGACGAAATGGACGCGGAAGAGGAGATCCTGTTAGAACTAGACAAATGACGCACAACACACACACACAGAGGCACACTAGCTTTACAGATCAAACGCGATGCAGGACTTGAATTACCGCGATGCTGTGGTCCATGGACTGAAATCTGGTGAGGCCGACGGAGCCGACATCGTTTCGGACCTTGTTAGAAACAAGTGCCACGCTAGTAGTAACAGGTGCCTTACTAGTAGTAACAAGAAGCTACTAGGAACAAGTGCCACGCTAGTAGTAACAAGTGCATCGCTACTAGTAACAAGAAACTAGTAGAAACAAGTGCCTTACGACTAGTAACAATGTTTCCGAATCGACTGCGGACGGAGCCGGCCGGACTGCTCAGATGCCGGCGCTCGGCGTCCACCTCCTGGCGATCCGCCGTTCTTCGGGCTGCCCAGTAGGTGTGGGGTACACGTGCGATTTGCCGCTTGCTGTCGATCAAGGATAACAACATGAAACAACATAATATATGGGTATATAAACTATTGTTTTCTTTTAGAGATGAATGAATTAGCAAGGTTTTGCTTAAACAGGACGCCTTATTTAACAGGCACAAAGATATTTTTTTCTGATCTGTCCTCTCTTTTGAGAGAAAGCAATCGAGCTCACTTCTGCTGAGAGTTGCCACGGTTCCTGTGTCCAGCTGCTGTCCAGCTAGGCACCGCTGTGGCTTTGCTTGGAGTCGCCCTGGAAATGATCCGCAGCCGCGGGATGTACCAGGTGTGGTAGGTTTTCTTTGAAAAGCTTCAACGTTCGACGGGTGCGGCACAGGAAACCAGCAACAGCGGGTCAAATATTATCACTATTATTGGGAAAGGTCTGCAACCTAACCATCATCATCCACAGTTGCTTACTGGTAATCTTTTTCTACTGAAGTCAGACCAGACGGTACTCATCCACCTTCGGACATTCGCTGCCTAACGTCACAGCAAGACGGTGTCTGGAGGGCTCCCTGAAAGACTCGGGGAACTTGGTCTATGCCTTGATCCTGACAGCACAGGCTTGGACGTCCGCAATTTGAGCCAAAGAACCTTGCGAACAGTGTTTTCACAGCTGCGAGGATACGTTGAATACCTGGGTGCACACGAAGATGAATTGGCAGCTGACCCGAGTGCTGACACTGATGCTAAATGCCTCGAGCGAGCGAACCGCTGGCATCAATTATCATCCTCAAGCATGAGGTCTCCATTCTTCGACATGCTGACCACAAAGTGGCCGATTTGGGATGCTTGGCCAAACAGGATTTGGAGGCCAACGTCCCAAAGTCGAACTGGAACTACTTGTATGATATTGTATCAGCTGCTCTGCTTTCTGGCACTTGCACACTGTGCCAATCATAAAATAAACCACTTTGGGTAAATTCGATAGTATCTCTTCACTTCAAGCTCGTCGTCCGAAGTGTAGAATCAGGATTCTAGCTCGGCTTCTCACTGTTGATTCCGCACCCGTGCTTTCAGGAGATGTTATCAAGCCTCGCATGTGTAGTTTCCTCAGTGTTGGGCTGACTTTTGGATGATCGGATTGACATCGGCCTCTCCTTCTTAAGGTTGACAGCACTCGACCGTGTGTGACTCGTTCTGCTCTTCAGTCCGAGCCCCAACTCAACTTGCAAAAAGCTGGAGACAGGTTCAAGCTGCCAATCCCTGCAGAAGAGAAGTTCAGCAAGCTCAGGTGCTATGATATGTTGCATCGGGAAAGTGTGTGAAGAGCTGAGGGCTGATATTATGGCTGCGTGTCAAAATTTCGGAATCCGACCACGGAAAATGAACGGAATAATTGGACGACCTAATCAACCTACAGGGTGTACAGGGCTCCGGGTTTTGACCCACAGCAGCCATATGATGTTAGACTTGCTTATATATATATATATATGGATTTCCTTTAGATCTGCAGAGTCCTTGACCACGGACTTGCTCAGGGTGTGTCCACACCAGAGCCCGCAAAGTCGCAGCATCTTTGTAGCCTGTGGAGAACATGATATTTGCACATGGCCAGCCTGTTGCTTAGAGCTACGTCCGTTACATACAATCTAATGGACCTGCATAGCGTCATTCGTTCTCTTGTAGCATCCATATAAGCTGTGATATGCAGATGCGGATAGGACAGCTTCAGCAACCTCGATGCAAAGAGCCACTTGGACCAGCAAAAAGCAAAGAACAGGGAAGATGCAGAAAGCAAGCGCACGTCCAACATGAATGATGCAGAAAGCAAGGCAGAGAGGGAGATCTCCTGAGCCAACCGGTTCGGAGTTTAGTAGTGGGGAACATGGTTTAGCATGTTTTAGCTGGGCTGACTCACTTTTCTGTGCTTTTCTGCGTCAGATTGGTGCCTCAGCCACGAGCTGCGAGCGCCATTGAAAGCTCGGCCTTGGCTTCGGGAACTTAATCACGATGTGGAGGAACGCGTGTCTTGGCAAAGAGAAAGATCAGATGCAACAATGTTGTTAAAGAAAACGGACAAGATATGCAAAGTTCATTAGCTTATATATTCTGCGATCACTTGTTTGTCATACAAATTACTACATGTTTGATTCCTTGTCCAGGTGTGCAGCCAGTGTGGGCAAGATGGAGCTTGGGTCCAAGAGGATCAATCGATTGTGTTTTTTTTTTCAACAAGAGATGCGCATGCCACACAGTTTCTCATGGGTTTCTGCCAGACTGTGGTATCTAGAACCATGAAACGCCATGAAACAACTGGCGGGAATCTTCAAGCCTAGGTTCTTCGGACCATCTTCCGGAACGTGGGTTTCCGTGAGCAAAGTCCAGATGCTTGGCCTCACTTCGTGGGAATGCTGTCCAGGAAGTGAGTAGCACAGCATGCAGTCCATGACTCATGCAGGTCAAGGGGCAAACATGAGCCACTGCGATGTGTTGCTTTCACATCTAAAAAGGAAACCTGCATGACATTTGTCCTTGTTGTTCTTGTTGTTCCTTTGCACTCCAAGGAAAGGAGAAGTGCACCCTTCTACGTCGCCTTCACGATTTGGGGGCCGAACCGATGCCGCCGTCGTCGCGGTTACAATGACCGAACCTCGCCAGGTGGAGTTTGGAGCACGCAAACCGGGCATGCTGAATAGCGCCGTGCTGCGGGAGAGCCCTCCGTTTTCATTTTGGAATTTGGAGAGCACGGAAATGAGATGTTTATCTTTTTCTTATGTGCGATGTTTACCCCTTCTTTCTTTCGGTTTTGAATTGTTTTGAGTTCTGCACATTTCAGGAGTTCTGCGGCTGGGAAGGTGTGCTTCTGGACTCTCAACCTGGCGAGACACCGCACGGTGGCTGCTCAACGCCTAGAGAGTGATGCCTCAGTGATGTGGACTCTTGATGAATAACCCCCCCATATGAAGAGGACTTTCAATTGTGGGGGGGGTTATTATCAAGAGTCTACATTGGTTGTCAAGCATTGAAGATGGGCAAGTCAATATAATATATATATATACATATGTATGTACAGGTTTTATATATACAGTGTGTATATTGCCTTGCTATTGACAGTGTGTATATCATGAACTATTCTCTTTTGGTTATACAGTGTGTATGTATACTGTATATGATATGTTCAGCTGTTCAATCTTCCTCCATGAACCTGGATAGTTGGCCGCTTAAGGTCCTCACTGTCCAGGAGTTTCGATTGTCGCGACAGAGTGGCAGCTCCCAGTTCTCCACTGTGGATGCAATTTGAACGGGTTATATAGTCGACTGGGAGCAACAATTTGTTTAATTTTTCTTGGTAGATTCTTGATATGGGTGTGTATTTCAATAGGGGGACCGTCTGTTTAAGTCTATTTCCCTTCTTCCAGGACGTCGAAAGCGGGTCGGTCTCCCTATTTTAATACTCACCCATAGAGTCCCGAGGTTTCTAAGGATGTTCGCAACTTTTTGTCAAGATCTTTTGAGGAGTCAAAGCATATCAATCCGCCGCTCTGAGGTTCGTGACAGCTGAAAACATTGTAGAATTGTTCAAGAAGTGTGGATCCCAAAAGTACTGCATGGGTGAGTACTGTGCCGCCAAACACGTGCACTTCTCGAGGTACAGTGTACCACATGACTTTGATCTGCTCACGATCGACACGGACTTCAATGACTACTGGACAGCTGATGTGTCAGCTACCGGAGAACTCGGACCCGAGACTCGAAGAACTCGTGGAAACACCGGGAGCTCTTTTCGTTCGCTCCTGTTGAAGCTAGCCGTTGCCTGGCGCGTGGCTCAGCAGGATTTGGCGCGCCTTGCTGATGGATGGCACCTTTCGACCACGGGTAGGGATCCTGGGACCGTTCACGGCAGCGGCGAAGGCGTGCTGAGACCAGCGAAAGCGAGCTGCCCTCGTTTTGGTCCCTGCAGGTAATTTCATGTCTCGTTTGAAAGACCAGCTGCCTTGTGAGGTCGTAGCAGTGGACTTCAATCCTGACATACCCTTGCATGAGGCAAAGGTTGTGAGGCCGGTGTGGATGTGTTCAGCTGGCACATTGCCAAAGATGCAATCTTATGGTCTTGAAAGATCACATTTGCCTCCCAATATCTTTTTTTCTCCGACTCGGGCTCTTTCTACAGGGAGTTTCTGTGGTACAGTTGCGCTTTTGGGATGCCAGGTATTCTGCGATGGCAGAGTGGGATGGCACCATTTACACTGTGGGTGGGCATTCGTGTGGCATTCATTTGGTGCACTTTCATTCACAAAGCATCGACAGTTTTACTTCGAGTCTTATCCCAAGCTGCTTGTAGTTGCCGCTTTGAGTTCTTTCTATTTTTCTGTCTATTTTGTTATTGGGTGTTGGATTCTCTTCATTTGTCAATTATTGGTTTCGGCGCAGGGTCACTTCTGGCTTATGCCTTGATGGCCAGAGCTCATGGCTACTCTTTCGCGTATGCACTGGAGCGGATCACGTTTGGAAGAACATCTGACCACTTGCATGGCAAACATCATCCTTGTTTTTGATATTAACATAATTGGCAAATCGTATAGCTGCACTTTGTTGGTGATTCAAAGCCCAAAATCCTGGGTGGAAGCGACTTGTCATAATCAGCGACGGTTAAGAAAAAGCTTCTCAGCGACTGAATGTGCCCGTTGGACGCATGAGGAGATGGGATCGCATGCCTTCTTCGTGCGCTCGGACCTGCTGCATGAGGAGGCCGGGACCTGCTGATCATAGGCGCTTCGTTTGAAGAGACGGTATATGAAGCATTTTAGCCCGAGAGGAGTTGCATGCATCAGCTCTTTTAAACATATGGCAGGATGTCAACATGCCATTGTTTGAAGCTGAGAACACGTGACACGTTTTTGTCGATGTATGTGGCGTACTTGTAGCTGGAAGCAGACAACTCTAGTAGATTCAATGTGGCTTCATATCAAGTCAGCTGGGCTCAGCTGAGGCGCTTTGTCAAGAAGAATTCTCACCCACCTGTCCCTGCCCTTGACAAAGCTTTGTATTCATTAGAGACGTGAGACCATGTGAGAATAGCGGCATAGCGTATTGAGACCATGTAGCCCCTAGTAGCTTCTTGTTACTAGTAGCGATGTCAGGAGCCCCTCGTAGCGTCCTTGCTCCTAGTAGCGTTCTTGCTCCTAGTAAGGCCAGGAGCCCCTAGTAGCTTCTTGTTGCTAGATTATTTGATGAGTGCAGCCCAGGATCCGAAACAACGTGACTTCGTGGACGTGCTCTATGATTTCATCCCAGGTAGGAAGGAGCCAAATCAGATTTGAGCGGCCCAGAGGAGTATGATAAATTATCCCGGCAAGAGACCCCAAACAGTGTGTGTGAGGTCTGTAAGCAGAAAGTCTAGAGATCTAGACGCATTGGGGTCCAGAGAGGTGATGGTGGTGATGAAGTGAAGGTGGGTGTGAGTGAGTGTGGGTGAGAGGGAGTGTGCGTGTGAGTGAGAGTGGGAGAGTGAGTGTGAGTGCGGGGTGTGAGTGAGAGTGAGTGTGGGTGAGAGTGAGAGTGAGAGTGGGTGTGAGTGTGAGTGTAAGTGAGCGTGAGTGAGAGTGAAGGTGGGTGTTAGTGAGTGTGGGTGAGAGAGAGTGTGTGAGTGAGTGAGAGTGGGAGAGTGAGTGTGAGTGAGTGCGAGCGTGGGTGAGAGTGAGAGTGAGAGTGAGTGTGAGCATGAGTGAGAGTGAGTGAATGGGAGTGAGTGTGAGTGTGAGTGAGAGTGATAGTGGGAGTGTGAGGGAGTGTGAGTGTGAGTGAAAGCGGGAGAGTGAGAGTGAGAGAGTGAGCATCTGAGAGCACAAAGTACTGCGCCTGCCACGAAATCTTCACCAAGTGCTGTGCCTGCCACGAAATCTGCACTTCGAGGTTCACCATGCGCTGTGCCTGCCACGAACTCTGCACTTCCAGCTTCACAAAGTGCTGTGGCTGCCACGAAATCTGCACTTCGAGGTTCACCAAGTGCTGTGCTTGCCACGAAATCTGCACTGCCACGCTCACACCAAGTGCTGCACCTGCCACAAAATCTGCGCGTCGAGGTTCACCGAGTGCTGTGCCTGCCACGAAATCTGCACTTCCAGGTCCACCAAGTGCTGGTGCCTGCCACGAAATCTGCGCGTTGAGGTTCACCAAGTGCTGCGCCTGCCATGAAATCTGCACTTCGAGGCTCACATTTGCACTTCGAGGTTCACAAAGTGCTGTACCTGCCACGAAATCTGCACATCGAGGGTCACAGAGTGCTGTGCCTGCCACGAACTCTGCGAACGAGCCACATGTCCAAAAGTCACGATTCACTGCACCTGTCACGAAATCTGAGCTCCTCGACGGTCACCAACATGTCCAAAGTGCTGCACCTGCCACAAAATCTGTTTTCGAAGTAAAACAGCTCCGATCCCTTGCGCCTGTCACGAAAAGTCGACTTTGAAGCACCAGAACACGAGGTTTCCCCTGCGCCTGCCACGAAAAGTGACCACCATGTACCAAAATGCACACTGAACGCAGTCGCTTAAAAACCCGCCGCCGGCAGGCAGATTTGCGAGCCTGCGCAGTCGAGGTGCACATGGACGATGTCGAGAGGCGCTTTTTGCAGCGAATTAGCCGATCACGGCCGCGCGCTTCAGCGATCTAAGCATCAGCTGCTTTTCACTTACCGTAAGAACCCCTCAGTGTGCTCACACTGTTTGGGGAAAAAACACCGTAAACTGTAAACGCGATGCATTTCCACCATCTTCTAATGTCTCAACGTCAGAGTTGGAGGTGAACGCGTGGGAGCTGCTAGCAGCCAGGACGATTCAGATGTCAACATGGTGGCTGTTTACGTTTTTGTAACCTCTTTGCTTTCCGTTTGGATGTGATCGAAGCAATCACTCAGAGGCAGTGGAGGCTGTGGGTTCGCAACGCCCGGCAGGACTCAGATCTTGTGACGGAGGCGCAAGATGGATTTGACGAACTTGAGATGAGCGTCTCGTTGTAGATCACCATCCATTTTTCCACACATCTTAGTGTGGGGTTCTTCTTTTCTATGTCTCATCCGCCTCCCGCCGCCTCCCGCCGCCCGCTTGCCGCCGCCTCCGCCTCCTCCCTCCACACCGAGACAACACATACAGAGACAACGCGCGCAGAGATCACACACACACAGAGACAACACACACACACACACAGATCATCCACACAGATCATCCGAGACAACACATACAGAGACAACGCACACCGAGACCACACACACAGAGACCATACACACCGAGACAATACATACAGAGACAACACACACCGAGACAACGCAGACAGAGATCACACACACACACAGAGACCACACACACAGAGATCACACACACAGAGACAACACACACAGATCATCCACGCAGATCATCCGAGACAACACATACAGAGACAACACGCACCGAGACAACACGCCCAGAGACAACACACACCGAGACGCCGCCAGAATTCGTGGCAGGTACAGCGCTCTGTGAACCTCCATGCGTTAGAGGCTCTGGCTGTTGCGTGGTCGGCGGTGGTCGCCGGTCCGTTCCTCCATTGTGATTAGAGTTTTCACTTGTTTCTTGACGAGCAGATTCCGTGGCAGGCACAGCGCTTTGTGAACCTGCATGTGCAGATTTCGTGGCAGGCGCAGCGCTTTGTGAAGCTCCATGCGCAGATTTCGTGGCAGGCGCAGCACTTTGTGAAGCTCCATGTGCAGATTTCGTGGCAGGCGCAGCACTTTGTGAACCTCCATGTGCAGATTTCGTGGCAGGCGCAGCACTTTGTGCACCTCCATGTGCAGAATTCGTGCTCCGTTAGAGGCTCTGGCTGTTGCGTGGTCGGCGGTGGTCGCCGGTCCGTTCCTCCATTGTGATTAGAGTTTTCACTTGTATCTTGACGTGCAGATTTCGTGGCAGGCACAGCGCTTTGTGAACCTGCATGTGCAGATTTCGTGGCAGGCGCAGCACTTTGTGAAGCTCCATGTGCAGATTTCGTGGCAGGCGCAGCACTTTGTGAACCTCCATGTGCAGATTTCGTGGCAGGCGCAGCACTTTGTGCACCTCCATGTGCAGAATTCGTGCTCCGTTAGAGGCTCTGGCTGTTGCGTGGTCGGCGGTGGTCGCCGGTCCGTTCCTCCATTGTGATTAGAGTTTTCACTTGTTTCTTGACGAGCAGATTCCGTGGCAGGCACAGCGCTTTGTGAACCTGCATGTGCAGATTTCGTGGCAGGCGCAGCGCTTTGTGAAGCTCCATGTGCAGATTTCGTGGCAGGCGCAGCACTTTGTGAAGCTCCATGTGCAGATTTCGTGGCAGGCGCAGCACTTTGTGAACCTCCATGTGCAGATTTCGTGGCAGGCGCAGCACTTTGTGCACCTCCATGTGCAGAATTCGTGCTCCGTTAGAGGCTCTGGCGGTTGCGTGGTCGGCGGTGGTCGCCGGTCCGTTCCTCCATTGTGATTAGAGTTTTCACTTGTATCTTGACGTGCAGATTTCGTGGCAGGCACAGCACTTTGTGAACCTCCATGTGCAGATTTCGTGGCAGGCGCAGCGCTTTGTGAAGCTCCATGTGCAGATTTCGTGGCAGGGGCAGCGCTTTGTGAACCTCCATGTGCAGATTTCGTGGCAGGCGCAGCACTTTGTGCACATGAACAGCACTGTGTGAACCGCCATGCTCCGTTAGAGGCTCTGGCTGTTGCGTTGAAGGCGGTGGTCGGCGGTTGTCGGCACACGACCTGCTTTCTTCTGCGCGATGAAAAAGAGCTTGGCTATAGAGTTTTACGTCGGCTGCGCGATGGATGGGGTTTTACTTCGGCTAGTTGTGGCTGTACACACATGTATGCGCAATACCTCGTACATCCGCCGTGCACATTACTCTCCCACACCTCTCTCCCACCCCTCTGTTGTGTAATTCTGATATAGTAATTCCTGACAAGGCCATGTTGTAGAAGCTATTGAGACTCTGACTGCTTTGTGCTTTTGAAACTTAAGATTCGTAAAAACTCATATGTGGGGTTATCCGGTCCTTTAATTCTTTAAGCAAAACTATTACTGTATATGTTTATATATACGACATATTACCTGTTTTTTTGTCTTCGTCAATTGAAACTACTTGGTCAAGACCTATGAACTACTAAAGTGCGCGACAAAAATACATCGACCGTGCTCTGCGATGTCTGAACCAGCGGCAGGTGCAGCGGCTTCGCCGTCAATTGCAAGAACTGCAGGCGGTGCTTTCTGGTTATGCGAGCAACAACATGACTGTTTGCAAAAACACGATTGAAGAACAACAATTTGACACACTTGCAAACAGATTAGATTCTAGATGATTCTAGGTCAGGGTCTCAAAACTTTTCAACTTGCAGAAGAGCCTTCACTTTTGACATGGTCTCACCCAGGGCACTCCAGCCGTACCCAATGACCGGAGGAGA